GTCCCTATTTTTCTACTTGCATTTTTTACGTGCTTTCAAACTGCTAGGTTGGCAGAAGCTGGGACAAGTAATGGGAGCTCACCCCGTTATGCGGCACTCGGGATTTGAACCGCTGAACTGCTGACCTTTCGATCAACAAGCTCAGTGTCTTAGCCATTGAGCCACCGCAACCCTGTGCAGGTTGGATATGTGCCTAATACAGTACCATACTCATTTTCAGTTCTCACTAAGATACCATGCTAAGCATTTCTAAAGAATGGCCTATATCACGTTACCTGTGTTTTGTCTCCAGACCATTAGGGAGGCAACTTCAGTTTGTGTTTAATGCTTCCAATTTAAAGGAGCATTTCCTTCCACCACCACCACCAACCCCCAATACAAATCATGAGACATAATCTACAACCAACAACTCATTCATGACTTGTTGATGGTGCATTTACAAATTTGGATCTGCCCAACTCCTACTGGCCATTTTAGGCTGCTACAAGTATGCCCTCTTTCCCCTTGGCACTGGGCACTAACCCCCAGGCCATTTTGGCTTGGGCTATAGGGAAGACTAGGCATCTGGATTTTGCAAAAGCATCTGCCTGGAATGTGTTAACCAGGCACGATGCAGCTGCTTACCTATCCAGGCACAGTACTTTCCTGAAAACATGGCTAGACCTGATTTTTAAACTCAGACTCAATGCATATTTGAAAATCTGTGTTTTAGAAACAGGAATAAAGGTGTCTCAAATAAATGTGTTAAAATTGTTCTACTGTTTTGCTAACAACGGGTTTTGAGTGGCCATATTGTTGCTCTTTTTATTACTTGAGGGAGCATTGTTTTTGTATAGTCCAAGGATTACTTTCTGGTGCGATTGACTGCAGTAACTTGGTTGCAGTGTTGCTCTTCCCTTCTTTATTGTTCCTATTCACTTTGTTCTACATCAGCAGCCCCCAATCTTTTGAGCACCAGGGACTGGCTCCGTGGAGAGAGGTTTTTCCATGGACCAGAGGGGTTATGGTTTCTTGTGTAGTCTGCATCCCGCAAATGCGGCTTTGCTTGTTGGCACAGGCCAGTTTCTGACATGCCATGGATTGGTGCCAATCCACGGGCTGGGGTTGGGGACTCCTGCTCTACGTTATTCAATGGTGCTTGTTAGTTAAATGACAGGTTGCATATATAATGGAGTGCTGCACAGTAAAGCAATAGAGAGCAGTCTAAATGAACCTTGCAACCATCCCACCAAGCTTATGACCAGTCATTTGGGGACATTTCCGATCAAAGTTATAGAATAAAAAATAATGAGCAACTAAAAATGTGGGATGAACTGATTTTTGTAGCACACTTGTGAATATGGATCCTGGGAACATCTTGAGAACCTCTCTCCACCTTGGATTCACAAGGTCTGATGTCAAAACTTGATCGGCTACTGCATACTTCCGCAGGAGCTATCTCGTCCTTGATACAATGGAATAATCTGAAACAGTCCATTGTCAGTCCAGGGATGACAATTCCTTTTAATGAAATATTTGGGTCTAGCATGCATGTATGTATTATAATTTTCCTATGGTCATCGTGGTTATTCACTATTCCTCCAATTGTTTTTCAAAAAATGTGACAAGTAAGCCACAATAAAAGTCACCTTTATTTTCAATGTATTTTTTTTTTCCACCTTAGATTTCAAAAAGTCTGTAAAAACGTATTAGCTGGTTAAAAACTATGCACTACTTTTCTGAAAAGTGTGTACAATTGAAAATATAAAAAGCATAGATAAGTAAATAATAATTAATCAGGTAAAATCAGCCCAAAGCAGCAGCAATATTTGTGTAAAACTTTCAAAAAGAATAGGTAATCAGAATAAAAGGACCATTTCTGCTCAAAATAAAGAAAGAATAGATCTGAACTTATTTAACATAACTGTGGAATTAAACTATTTGATCATAATGAACATCTTTATCCAAAGGTCACAAATTAATTACAAATAGATATTATAGAGGCAACACAACAAGTACAAATAGATATTACAGAGGCCATACAGCAAGTTTCCATTCAGAATTCACAGAGTAATTTCTGCATTCTGCTACATTTAATTGGCACTTCATGAACATTTGCATTTCATAGAGACAACAGTGGCATCAGACGAGAGCCACACATTTAATTTAGTTATGACTTATGAGCCATGGTGGCGCAGACGTTAGAATGGAGTATTGCAGCCTAATTCTGCTGAGTGCAATTGCCAGCAGTTCGGCAGTTCGATTCTCATTGACTCAGCCTTCCATCCTTCCAAAGTCAATAAAATGAGAACCCTGATTGTTGGGAGAAATATGCTGAGTCTGTAAACTGCTTAGAGAGGACTACAAAGCACTGTGAAGCGGCATATAAGTCTAAGTGCTATTGCTATTGCTATTACACTGAAGCTGGAATGCATACATACAATCAGTTTTCTGTTCTGTAGATATGCCAGAGTTTTCAACAGTAACTTGTCATTCTCTCATCAAAAAGAAGACGACTCATATCCTTTGATTTTTGCTCCAGCCCCAATGTTTATTGTAATGAAAGTAAACTTAAAAAAATAACTTATAAATTTGCCTTAATCCCCAAACCATTTTCAAAGGTGAAGACTGAAACCTGGAATTCACATTGCCACAGAAATTTAAGGACGATAGCATCTTTTGATTTTGGCAGGCATAAAAGGTATATATAAGCACACATTGAAATCAACTGCATGCCAACTGTAAGAGATAATTCAGTACTACAGTAATTCAGTTGCACATTGCTGTCAAATATTGCTACACATTCATTATCAAGTATGAGCATAAACTGCTATCAAATTATACTGAATATTCAAACAATCATTTAATACAGTCCTTAATGCTGAAGATAATTGCAGAGAACAAATTGATTTTAGTAGTCCGCAAATATTTTAGTATTTGATTATTCCCCGCAGGGCTGTGAATTGTTAAATGGCTGTTCCCTATTTGTCTAGAATGTTCCTGATCATCTGTTGCTGGCTCACTAGGTATTTACTTTAGAATAACACCAGAACAGATTACTCGTATAGGGCAAATGCAGCCATTGACTCACCTATCAACTAATGTCACATGTTAATTGTGAATTATAAAGCAACTAACTTCTATTAAGTTTACAGTTCTAGCTCTGGATCTAATTCATTGGAGTTTATAGTGGACTGGACAATCTAAGTTAGCATTTTTAATTCTCTTTCTTTCCTGCTATGCTCGCAAACTCAACAAATCTTTTGTAGATGTTCTGTTGCCCAGCCTTTTATTTAGAGAAGCAGAGAAAGAAGGTGTGTGTGTGCATTACTTTGTACTTTGTACATCAGCCTTTTCTTTGTTCTGTATGCAGTGCTCCCAGAGCTTTTCTTGCTGCTTTTGAAGATTATGTTCCCCTGCTTTTTGTTAATGTGGCCAAGTAGTTATATTTTTTATAAAGTTGCTCTAAACCTAGGTTTCCCCAAATCCTCTACCAGCTTGCCTGTTCCCCCTGATTTGCTGCTGGCATGCCAAAAACAAGGTCCTATCTTTCACCATCTGTATAATTTGTAATTAAGTTTCTGGGCTTTATAAGAGCTTATGTTTCTAGAAAATAAAAATGGTGGTTGACTGAAGAAAGAATAGGTGGTGGAGGATAGTATGTAGGAGGTCTTGGAAAGGATGGTAAGAAGCACCCTAATTAGCTTGCTTTCAATAGGTGCTTTGTGATGGGCCACATCTAACGTAGAGCAGCTGCTGTATTTTGTAATAGTGCCTGCAGTTAAAATTCTGAACAAATTTTAGCTCCCAAAATTTGGATGCTCCTGTTCCAATTTCATTTGACATTTTCTTGCATTTCTGCCCCAAATATTGTTTTTCTGGATTTTATCAATCTCAGTAACAATATATTTTTTATTTATTTTGAATTTATATACCGCACCTTCTCCCGAGGGACTCAGGGAGAGTCCCTGAATATATAAAGAATTCCAGTATTTCATGCCCGATGCAACCTTTTATCTTTAACGTCGCTGTGAAATAGTATTAAAAAGTCTGTGGTCTGAGCAGGTGTGGGTTCTAAAAATTTTTTACTACCGGTTCGGTGGGCATGGCTTATTTTGTGGGCGTGGCTTGATGGTCATGTGACAATTCTTTAGGATTTAGCAGAGGTACTGGTCTACCAGGCTTTTAACTGTTTGCAGAGCTGTACCGGTCTACCCATTTATTTTTGCAGGCACCGGTCTACTCATTTGTTTTCTTTTAACACTGATCAGCTACAGGGTGGCTCTTTGAAGCTTCGCAGCAAGAGTTTAAACAGTTTTTATCCCTCTAGCCATCAGCTGGGACTCAGGAGGCAGCAATAGATTGGGTTTAGGGCCAAATAAAAGCTAAGAATAATGTGGGGGGTGGGGTGGGTGGGCAGGGGGGCAGAACCGGTTCGGTGATGTCATATCCTCACCGCTACCAGCTTGGCGGAACTGGGAGGAACCCACCACTGGGTCTGAGGGACATTCAGGGATAATCTACCCAAATTCACTATTTCCATAAATATCCATATCTATATGCTTGTCCTTCTGATAGCTGATATAACCCTTTCGTTATATATTTAGTGAGGATATAATATAAGTGCAGTTAGCTGAACTGTGTGAGTTAAGCTCAGGCTATAATACATTCATGTTTCAATTGCAAAACGTATGGATATGTTTTTACTGTTTGCATCTGCTTGAAATACAAAGATCTGGAATGCAGACCTTGACTTTAGAGATGCATATAACTTTGAAAGAAATTCAGCAACAACCTGAGGGTCAACCATGCTTGAAAATGAGGCTTGTATCAAAGAGATCTTCCATTCTGTTAATGAAATTGAAGGAGACCCATACCAGATTTCAGCTGAGAAGCAAAGTGGATAGAACTGATATGAAAAATTCAGTGGCAATAGCAGCAAATCAGACCCTTTAAGGAAGGCAAAGTAATCTCTTTTCATTTCCTTCAGCTTATATGGCTTAGTTTTTAAAAGAAAAAAATAAAATAAAGTCTGCTTTATTTTTCCCTTGCAATATCTTCATCCAACAGAGGAATAGTGAGCTCTGCTTCTCTTGTCACATGCGGGTTGCATTTGGAACTGGAAACGTGCTTAGAGGTATCAGTATGATCTGTCCAGCATGCCTAAATTATAGGATGTAAACATAAATAGCAAAATTAACACCATCATTACTAATGGAAGAACATTATACAGCTCTTTTCAGTATTTTACATGTCGTTTCTCTTGCTGAGGTGTGGAAAATTTTAAGAACAGTGTCAAGACGTCTCAGGGCACTTAAAAAACCCTCACCCATGTGTTGGGGCAGAAGGTTTTTGTAAAGCAACAACACCAGTGGTGAAATGTAAAATTTGTTACTACCGGTTCTGTGGGCGTGGCTTGGTGGTGGGGGTAATGTGACTGGGTGGGCGTGGCCAACTCTTTTTTTTACTTTTTAAAAGCATTTTTATACAATCTATTCGGCTGAATAGGTTGTAAAAAAATGCTTTTAAAAGTAAAAAAAAAAAGGCTCTGATGATCACAGCTGTGCCTCGCGATCGTCAGAGCCTTTTTTTTACCTTTTAAAAGCAGGAAGTAATGACACCCGGGTGGGTGGGCGGAGCCTCACGCCACCATCACTACCGGTTCTCTGAACCACCTGCCACAATCGCTACCAGATCGCCTGACCCGGTCTGAACCAGGAGCATTTCACCCCTGAACAACACCCAATTTCTCTTTGGGTCCCTCATCTTTATTCTCACCTGCTGGACAGGTCACCCCCCAGTGCAGCCTTTTCTTATGCACATATAGGCAATATGTTGCCATGGAATCAAGTAGTTAACCAGTAATTCCTTGATGCATTTGGGGGTTGGTCAGGTTTAGGAGCTGATCTCTTTCAGGGCCTAAGGACGAGGAGAGTGAAATATAAAGAGAAACAGTTCCCTACTTCGTACAATTGGGAGAGATAGGGAAGAATTTTTTTTTAGAAAAACAGAGTTGGAAAGGACCCTGTAGGTCAGCGGCCTCCAACCTTCTGGGCACCAGGGACCAATTTCACGGAGAGAGGTTTTCCGCGGACCAGAGGGGGCATGGTTCTGTGTGCTGCCTGCATCCCGCGGATGGGGCTTTGCTTGTTTGTGTGGCCCAGTTTATGGCATGCCATGGCCTGGTGCCAGTCCATGGATCGGGGGTTTGGGACCTCTGTTGTAGGTCATCCAGTCCAACCCCCCCCCCCCCGATGAAGCAGGAAGTCAAGTGCTAGTTTCTGCTAATCATGATTTGTTGAATATACAGAAATATCTGGTTTCCGCTCCACAAAATAATAAACTACTGATGCACAATATATGAACTTCCCAAATATCTCTAGCTAAAACTGCAGGCAGCTACTGTTTACCAATTACATCTAAACTGTGTATTTGATTATATATTAGGCTATTGGGCAAAATTTACCAATTGCAATTGCTGGGCTCATACAACTAAACTAAAACCAAGCAAACTATATTATAGCTTAGCATGCTGTATAATTATAATATTTTGATGGAGGTCTCTCCTTCTGATAAATAGCTACATTATAGTCTCTATTAGCATTTAAGTCAAGTCTGCACAAATTGAATCTGTGCATGTTATGCAACTTGTGCATAAAAACAGTTTGCATTCTAGTGTCTTCCAATCAAAGGAAGTCGGTATTTATTTTTGAGATGGTAATAATTTTTTAGAAAGAAATCATCTTCACCACAAGCATGCCCAAATTAGGTAACCCCTAGCTACCAAATGTTTTGAAAGAAGGAAGAGTTATTGTACAATAGTGAGACATGTTAACTAAGAAAATGTTAGTTTGCAGGTGATAAATGTTAGGTTTGCCTTCTGTTCCAACATCAGCTCTCATTTCCTACATATTGGAACTATGGGAAAAGATGCTTCAGTTGTATTGTCTCCCAAACCCTGGAACAGAGAAAACTTTTGAACTCCCAATGTCAACAGGAAAGAAGGAAGGAAGGAAGGAAGGAAGGAAGGAAGGAAGGAAGGAAGGAAGGAAGGAAAGAAGGAGGAAGGGCAATTATAATTTATCCTGAGACCTTCTTAAACAACTAGGAAAATGATTAGATTCCTAGCATCCTTCATTCCAAGAAAAGATTACTCTTTCTAAAAAGAATCAGCAGCAAGGATATTGTTCATAGTCCCCTGATATGTGTGCTAATAAATATGGTGCAAACCTAGAACAGAAGGGGAAAAAATTGCTTGTTTGTAAGGCTCACTTACTGTTCCTTCTGCCTCAGCCAGCTGGCATGCCAGAAGGGAAAGCAGCTGTGAAAAGGATGGTCTTTTTCTGGAGTCCAAAGCCCAGCAGGAACACAGTAATAAGTATCTGCAAAAACAAGATAAAAGAAGGGAGAGGAAAAATACCCAGTATTTTCTAACTGATAAGACCAAGGAGACATACAGTATATATGTCACAGATATTGTGGTATTATGCAGAGTTAAAAGAACCTAGAATATGAAGAACATCAATTTCATATAGAATTGATAAATGTTTACAAATATGAAGCATCAAAAAGCAGAAAACTGAAAATTAATATTATGCTTTAAATTTTACAATACATATGAAGTAAGGACCTGCTGTAATCCAGCTGTTGATGGACTATTATGGCCTAATAATTGCATATAGTGATTGGGATTCAAATGGATCTGAGTAATATCTGGAGATGCATTTTTGATTGAAACGTATCTACAATCTTAAGTATTCCCTTTCTGATTGAATTGTCTTAGTTGTATCTTGCAATTATTTATGTCCTGAATCTATTTCTACAAACTATGTATTAGGTGTTTTTATCTTGTGCAGATGATGGTTTAAACTGAGTGACAATCTTTACTGGAGGCCCATCATTTCAGAGGTAATGTTGTGGCACAAGTTTTTAAACATAATTGCTATACTAAAATTATCCCTTAACAAATGTAGGATGACATGTTATGTTTGCTGTAAACAGATGCATATATGGCCGGGTTGCAAAGCCCTTGAAGTTTGGTCATGTAACCATGGAGATCCAACTATCAGAACTTCAAATTCAGGTCATAAGACCTCTTTTTTGGGTTGGTTATAAGTTGAGGATTTACCTATTTGGGGAAACAGAGAACTGAGTCGAGGCAATGCAGGACTCTTGTGTAGAAGTACCCTTAGAGAAAAATATAGTTTCCCACAAAAACACCCCAAATCACCAAGGCCAATCACCTGTATCCTCTTTCAAAGGTTAATTTTCTTGGCCTATATGACTACTGCACAATGGTGTCTAACTGTGTCCAAAAGTAGTCCAAGAAAGTCACAGATAACAGTGTAGTTAGAAGCAAGGAAATGAGAGCAGGGGCTACGTGTCTTCTTACATTATACTCTGGCCAGTCCCACCCTAACCTTTATACCCAGAAAACATACATTTCTTCTGTGGCATAAAATGGACGGTCCATCTTAAATCCATTTTGAATAAGCTTGTAGAATTTCTCATTAACTTGTATTCCGGGATAAGGATTGACACCTAAAGAAAAAAAAAGTGGCAAAGCAAAGAATGAATGTTTGAAGTAAGCTTCATTGGAGAAGCTTTCTTAATTTGCATAACCTTGCAGAGCTATCTGCAGAGTGTGGTCCAAAAAGTCAAAATGGTAGCCACAGCAGTCCAATTGAAGCTTTGCCTGTTTTTTTTTTTACCTCCGTTGCATGCCATTTTGACCTTTTTGACCATTTCCTGCAAATATTCTGCAACCTGGACCACACTGAGAAGGCATATGCTTCTTAGATATTTAGAAAGGTGACTATTCAATTATATAATACAGGGCCTGGTGGCTCAGCAGACTAATAGCATTGTAATTAACACCAGCTGTCTGCAATTACTGTAAGTTCGAATCTCACCAGGCTCACGGTTGACTCAGCCTTCCATCCTTTCTAAGGTAGGTAAATTGAGGACCCAGTTTGTGGGGGCAATAAGCTGACTTTGTATAAATATACAAAAGTATGAAGGCTTAATTGTAAGCCACCCTGAGTCTCCAGAGAAGGGCGGCATATAAATCAATTTTTTTTTAAAAAAAGCAAAATAAATGGAAAACCCAAAAGTGGTTAACAAAGACATTGCCAAGAGCTTCTGGAGAACATTTATGACAATTGAATAAAGGATGAAAAAGGATGAATAAAGGATGATTTGTTTTTCTTCTTAAAAAGATATCTCTCCTAAAGTATTCCAGAGGAACAAGCATCTCGAAGTTAAAAACTCATGTGCACACACTCCTCCTATACTAATAGGGCAATTTACAGAATGAAAATGTATCCGCCACCCCATTCCCCACTTTGGAACTCTATTAGCAAGAAACAACATTCTAAAGACATTGTTCCAGGTTGCTTAGATCTCTGAATGAAACATAGTTCTGTTAAATCTCTGACTGGAGAACTAGGGAACATATTCCAGAACCTACCAAGAGAGAATATTTCCCAGAGTAAGATTCCATAAGACCAGACATCACTTTTAATTGTGTATATCCCTTCAAATAAACTTTCAGGGGACATCCATTTGACAGGTAAACGAGCCTGGAAAAAGAAAGCACAGAGAAGAGAGAGGTCATTTCCCCACAAAATGTTCTCATATAGGGAGACCAATTGCAAAATCACATTGTTACTGAACAGGTTTCTCCTAAGGAACAATCATCTCTCTTGTTGGCATCCCGTCAGATGGTAAAAATACTCTTGGTTACATGGGTACTCTAACATTCCTGTTGGACTGCTTTTGGAGGTTGGGATTTTGGATTTTGGATTAGGATTTTATAATTAATTAACCTTAACCTGTGAAGTGGTGCCTTGCAGAAGTGACCCAACTCAATTTGCCTCCAAGAGATATTTCCTAACACCTCTAGCTTTTAAGCTTTGATTGAAATCAAATATCCTCTCCCTTATTTTGTAAAACTCTAATTTCTCCCACTTACCAAAAGAGCTATGGGCACAAATAATCTCTCTCAGGGCTATATGCCATGAATCTAATGAAGTGGCCTGTGATCCTTGAAAACTTAATCTATCTATATAAAAAATTTATGTATGTATGTTCCAGCATAACTCTGGAACGCCTTGAGCAATTTCAACCAAACTTGGTACACAGATGACTTACTATCTGGAAACAAATACTGTGGGGGTTAGATACTCCTGTGTGTGTGTGTGAGAAAGTGTGTGTTCAAGCATAACTGTGGAATGACTGGGCAATTAAGGAGAGCAAGTGTGGCATCCTAGAACGGCAATTGTTTGTGATTTCCTCTGGAAAGGCAGCCATGATGTTCTCCCTCCAGTGGAGCAATTGGGAAACACCTGATGGATTTGGGGCAAAGTGCCAGGATTGTAGACAGGGCGGGAAAGAGGAGCGCATGGGAGGGGGAAGGCAGAGGGCAGGCATGATGGGCATGGGAGTAGGTGGAAGACAGGCCCCTCTCAATGGCTCCCTGTCAGACAAAGGCTTCAACATCTATAAATACCCGGGCAACGCTGGATTACCAGCTAGTAACAAATATAGTAGTCTTTAAAGTGCCATAAGACTCTTTAATATACATATGCAGTTGAATTGCCTTCTCTTCTAACATAATATATCATTCCCTAATGGAACTATTGTAAAAGTTTAGTACCAACTTTTGGCTGATTTCTCGGGGATGGAGAATCTGTAGATCTCAGAAGTTTCTAAGCGGCAATTCCCCAACATCTTTCACCATCTATCATGCAGTGTTGAACCACATCTTTCACCATCAATCATGCAATTCAACCACTATTTCCTTCTCTCTGAAGGAACCTTAGCAAAACCAAGGTGGTTTTAAACTTAATCATCTTAATTTTTTAAAAAAACCCACACCCAAAAGTTTTGCCTTCTTGCTGTGCATATTTATAATAAAATAAATTTGTGCATATGTGTAAAGCTGAGAAGGCAGTATACATACAGCCTAACAATTTCTGATGTGGAAATGCTTTCCATATTAGAAATCTCAAATTTTTATGCAAGGGAATGAAATGACACGCGCAGAGAATAGTATATGGTGGTTGATGACAAAATAAGGGATCATCAATCCTACTCTCACTGATACCTGGTTGATCTCTATGGGATACAGGATCTTAGAAATTATGAACAAGCTCTTCTTCCATACTTACAAGATAATTAAGATTCAAGCAGCTATCTCTATTTTTTGTAGTGCCAGTTTGGTGTAGTGGTTAAGTCATCAGGCTAGAAAACAGAAGATCATAAGTTCTAGTCCCACCATAGGCACAAAGACAGCTGAAGAAGCTTCTTGGATGAGAAGTGAAACGTCTTCAAAGAAAAACCAGAAAGTCTAGTTGCCTCTTGAAAAAGCACCTTTGGGACAATCATGACCTGGATGACTGAGAATCTCCATAGACATTTACTTCTCAAGATGCTGCCATGAAAACGCAGTGACTAGTTCAGACACTCAACAATAGTAAATAGTAAAGATGTGGAGATATAGACGTGCGATTTGTAGCTGAAACTGTGCTGTGATTATAAGTGTTTGGTGCAATGATTAAGACTCCAGGCTATAAATCAGGAAACTATGAATTCTAGTCCTGCCTTAGGCATGAAATCTGGCTGGGTGACCTTGGGCCAGTCACTTTCTCTCAGCTCTAGGAAGAAGGGAAGGGCTTAGGCCCAGGATATCTATCGGACCATCTGCAATCAGCAACAGTTCCCCATCGTCTGGTGCGTTCTCACAGGGAGGGCCTACTCAGGGTGCGGTCGGGTAGACAATGTCGGCTGGCGACCCTCCAGAGGTAGAGCTTTCTCTGTGGGCGCACCCACCCTTTGGAATCAACTCCCCCGGGGGCTCCGGTTGGCCCCTGACCTTCGCACTTTCCGCCGCGAACTAAAAATATGGCTATTTAAATTGCCCAGCCTGGACTGATGGGGTTTTGATTTTTAATGTATTTTAATATGCATTTAATATGTATTTTAATATGCATTTAATATGTATTTTAACATGTTTCTTACTTGTATTGAGATTGTATATCTTAATTGTTGTGAGCCGCCCTGAGTCCTATGGAGATAGGGCGGCATATAAATCTAATTAAAATAAAATAAATAAATAAATAAATTACTTTTGAAACCTTGCCATGAAAACTGATTAAAATATTGTGTTAGCAATGAACTGTTGTTATGGACTGGACGAGAATGAAGATAGAAGAAACAGCAAAAAGAAGAATTTTTGGAGACAACACCGGAAGGAATGGAATGGAAGGAATGACTGATGTATTAAATGTTTGTTTGTCTAAAAAATAAAAAAAAACTTTTTTTTTTTTAAAAAGAAAACTGCAGGGACTTGCCTAGGCAGCAAAAATGGACTTGAAAGCACACACACCACATTTCTATCCAGTTAAACCAACTGAAATTGGAAAAGAAATTTGTCATATTATCACATTATCATATTATCACCCTTGCGAACCTGGATTTGGCTGTGCAAGATATTAGTAGTAATTTCGTTTTTACTTTCAGATCTTTCACAGAAAACATTGAGAACCATAAACATCAACTTACATTTCCTCTGACAACATAGTTTGAATCATTCATTATATCCCTGGCAAGTCCAAAGTCGCATATTTTGGCCACTTTCCCATAGGTGACTAGTATATTCCTGGCTGCTAGATCTCTGTGAACACACTGTCAAGAGAGAAAAGCGTTGAACAAAGGACAGAATTTAACTCTCTGATTGTTTTTTTAACAATGCCTTTTTCCACTGAAATAATATAGGATGCTGAAAGCCATTAAATAAAGTGTAGTAAGTTTTTTTTTAATGAAGTGTCAGTATTAAAGTAAAATAAAGAGCACTTTACTTTAAAGTGAGAACTTTAAAAATATAACAACACAGAGGCCAAAAGGTTAAAACAAAACATTACACAAAAATAATCTAAGATGGTGTGAATACAGGCATTTCTTTCCATGATTTTAAAAATGCTTCTTAAGATATAAGAAACGGCAGTTAACAACTAACAATATCCTGGAATTATGTTTCAGTATGAACTGTGGGTCTCCAAGAAACCAACCGGATTCATTTTTTTCCTTCCACTAAGCAAGGAAAGGAGCGAGACTGATAACAAACAGTTATTGTCCTTTAAATGCATAAACACAGAATGCCTATTGCTTGGAAGTAGGGTTTATTCATTTATTTACCAATTTAAGCACTCTATAAAGCAGCATTTTTCAACCTCAGCAACTTTAAGATGTTAGGATGTCTTAAATTGATAAATTAATCCACACATCTTTAAATTGTTGATGTTGAGAAACACTGGCATAAAACAGACAGTGAATATTACATGCCCAGAAAGCATACATACAGAAGTGAAACACCATAAATTAAACATGACCTTTAAGCACAGTTTTAATCACATTACAAGCCTGTTCCCAGCTCAGACTGACAAGGACAGATTTTCCCTACTGGAAAACTTCTCTCTTTTTTATCAGGTTCGCCTGATTCGCCAGTTGCAACCTTTTCTGGATCGGGACGCCTTGCGCACAGTCACTCACGCCCTTGTCACCTCCCGGGTGGACTATTGTAATGCTCTCTACATGGGGCTCCCCTTGAAGAGCACTCGGAGGCTCCAGCTGGTCCAGAATGCATCTGCGCGGGTGGTTATGGGCGCAACTTGTTGTGCCCATGTGACACCCCTCCTGCGCGAGCTGCACTCAGTGACACCCCTCCTGCATGAGCTCCCAGTGGTCTTTCGGGTGCGATTCAAGGTGTTGGTCACCACCTTTAAAGCGCTCCATGGCATGGGACCCAGGTACCTTCGAGACCGACTTCTGCCACCAATAGCCTCCCACCGGCCAGTTTGCTCCAGAGAGGGTCTCCTCAGGGTGCCATCGGCCAAGTTATGTTGGCTGGTGACACCCAGGGGGAGGGCCTTCTCTTGGGAGCCCCAGCCCTGTGGAATGAACTGCCCCTGGAAATGCGTAAGATCTCCGACCTCCGGGTATTTCGCTGTGCACTCAAGACCCTGTTGTTCCGCCAGGCTGGGCTATCAACATAACAATCTTAAATTGGGTTTTAAATTCCTGGGGTTTTAAATTGAGCCGAATTCATTTAATAATTTTAAACTATTTTAACTGATGTTGTCTTGTGTTTTTAATAGGCTGTACACCGCCCTGAGTCCTTCGGGAGAAGGGCAGTAGAGAAATAAAATTATTCTATTCTATTCTGTTCTGTTCTGTTCTGTTCTGTTCTGTTCTGTTCTGTTCTGTTCTGTTCTGTTCTGTTCTATTCTATTCTATTCTATTCTATTCTATTCTATTCTATTCTATTATTCTATTCTATTCTATTCTCTCCCCACATAACTTCTTTGCCCAATTTTAATTTGGATGAAATACCTATCAAATAGCACTATAAAAACGTTTTTTAAAATTTGGAAATAAAATTGCACACTGATGTTGTTACATAGTTGGCTAATAAGATGTCTGCAAGCAAACAACCAAGCTCAGAGAGTGCCACATAAAAATCTAACTCCAAACAACAATGACATATACTTTATATAAGTGACATTTTTCTTTTCTAGAAAAATTCTGATACTAGTATTCTGATTCTAATATTCAACCAGATTGATCTCAAATGTCTAACTAGTGATGAATTTAGATAGTAGAGCATTCCCCATCCCTGTAATCTTTACTATTCAGCACTATTTTTTACAGAACAATCTTACTGATTTTGATTCCAGAAACTCCATTCCTCTGGCAACTTGATATGAGAAGCAGAGAAGGTCTTCAAAAGTCAATATATTGAGGCTTTCTTCAACATCTAGTCTCCTGTTCACATATTTCACTTCATCTGCAAATGAAAAATGGTGATTGGCTGATTTCTCAAGCAGAAAGAAGGACAACTACATTTTTAATTTTGTTATGTGGCCTCCAGAACCCTTCACTTTCAATATATCACATTCCTTCCTATGCACTAGCAACCACCATTGCAAATAAAATAGGTAATCACATGTATTAGTGAGAGACTGAAACACAAAGCATAGAATGTAAGTAGAATAGTATCTGATGCTGTTCAGAAGCAGGCAGTGTTTGGGTAGCAGATGCCATCTTATGGATGGCTAAGACTCACAAGGCAATGACATGGTATTTCACTGGAGACATGGAGCTGGGATTTTTAGTTTGCTCGCCCTTCCTTTTTTTATGAGTTGGGATTTCATCTTCAAAAGAACAAATACATTATTCTTTTGGGGGGGAGGGGCAGGAGATTGCCTGATAGTTTATTGCTGCATTATAGCACTTGGAGGGTTGAGAGAAGTAGAGAAACAGCATTCAGAACTTGCATGCGGTTTGTGAACTTCCTATTTCGGATAAACGCCACTCCATATCTCTGTTAAGATTAAAAATTGGCCATACCAATACCGTGCTTTCTCTTTTAATTTCTTTAAGAGAGAACAAAAAGGTAAGAGAAAATCATGGGATGGCAATGAACTTAAGAAAGAGGAAAGCAGATGCCTTTGTTCTCTGTTCTCTACTGAGATATAAATCAGAATTACAGAATTGATTCTGTTGGAAGCTTCCTTTTAGACCGTATCTAGGCCCCTGCTCGGTGCAGAAATAAAAATTAAAGCAGATGGCTGTGTGTTTTCTGCTTGATTAAATCATCTTCAGTTTTCATTAGTGTGATATCTCTTTAGGTACTTAAAAGTCCTAGCATGTACTAATTCAATCTTTTTGTTTTAAGACTTCTGAAAGAAGATGGTCCATGTCAGCTTTCATTGATTCTATTGCTAAGATTATTTAGAGAAAGGCACCTTATCATCATCATCTTCTTCATTTAACGACCCCATAATCCCTTGTGGGGTGGAGTCTGGGCAACTGAATGGAGCTAGCAGAGTGTTTTAATAGTCGGATGCCCTTCCTGTCGCCAATGCAGAATTTTGTTCAGCAGATATATTCTCAGTGTGCCCAGAGAGAGAAATATCTGCCTCTACCTAGAATCGAACTCACAGCTTCCTGATTGTGAGGCAAGAGCTCCACCTCTAGGCCACAGCACCACAGTAAAAGCACACCTTATGGCAGTTCCAAACTTCTTTCTGCCCACCTCTAATTTCTACAAATAATTTTTATAAACTCTTACCTTCCTCTGAAATCAGGGCACTTCCATATGTTTTAGAAATCACATCTAAGTCTTGTTTTGCATGTGAGCGATCCATTTGGCCAACTGGTAGGTAAGATCCATTTGTTAGTTTGATTCCATTTCTGGAGATAAAGGGTACACTTTAAAAAAAATAATTTATTAAAGCATCTAATATAACAATAAGGACAAACACAGCTTGATTATGAAATAATAAATGTAATACATTTGTACTGAAACTTTGATAATAATGCATTGTTTTTGTAAACAAATTTGGAGTGTAACCTTGTCTAATCAAAATATTATCTCCTACAATGTGGAATTCACTATTACTGTATTCATTTTAAGTGACCAAGTCTTTTAAATGAGGATCTGTGACAGTTTCTTATCAGATAATATACAATAGAATGAAACCAACCAGTCTTGTGTGGCTTCATAGGGATTTCTCTATCAAAATGCACTTCTGAAACTATATTAAACTAGGTGGCCTTAATAAAATGGCCCTATGAACCACAGGAAAATAATGGCAGGGACTGTAAAAGGACATCTGGGCTTCTAAACAGAGGCATGGGCCAGATAAAATTGCCTGACTGGGAAGTTCCCAGAACGTTCCCAGAATATTCCCAGACTTCTCTTACATTGACAAATCAATTGACAGCCATATGCCTCATACAAAACATCATACTTAAAATTTAGCTTAGTCTGAGTAAACTGTTACTGAGGGAGATTTTCTCAACATTTTCAACCAGTTAATATCAAATTTAGTTTTCCAGTGCTTATAGTTTTCTTTGTTAGCTGCCTGAATTATACTGTCACCTGTCTGGCCACATTCTTCCTGCAGCTTATGATCAAAGGCCTGTCAACTATTGCAGCTTCAAAAAAATTATTAAGAGTAAATTGATTGTGATGCATAAAAAATATTCCCATCTGTTGTATTTCTTCGGAACTTGTAGGGTTATATGGGTTTGGAAGTAAGATTCATTGTCACCAGCAATTTTTGGTAATGCACAATGCATTTTTCTACGGAGTCCTTGGTGCTCTCTGAGCTTGATTATTTTCTTGCAGAGATTTCATTACCAAACTAGGTAAGATTGTCATTGCTAGAAGGAAGTAGAGTTTGCTTTCATTTTATATACTAAAGGCTTACCGTCAGGTCTACTAGCCTTTTGTCTGTTTGTCCTGCATAGAAATTGTTATAGTGGTATAGTCTTTAACACTATGTTGTAAATGACTCTTTATGGGGCTGTTGTTTTCTCTTAGATTAGATTAGATTAACAGAGTTGGAAGAGACCTTGTAGGTCATCTACAAGGGCCTGGCCTAACTTTCTCCCTCTTTTTAAACAATTTTAATATTTTAATATTTTTAATATCTTTTAATCTTCAAAGTTTAAATCTGTTTTAAATTGATTGGGGTTTTAATCTGTCTGGGCCAAACTACTTAATTCGATTTTATTTCTGTTTTTTAAAATTTTGTATGTATGTATTTTATTGTTGGCTGTTCACCGCCGAGTCCTTCGGGAGTAGGGCGGTATACAAATCAAATAAAAGATAAAAAGAAAGATAAAGATCTAGTCCAACCCCCCACCCAAGCAGGGGACCCTACACCATTTCTGACAAATGGCAGTCCAATCTCTTCTTGAAAGCTTCCAGTGATGAAGCTTCCAAAGGCAAGCTGTTCCATTGGTTGGTTGTTTTCACTTGTCAGAAAATGTCTCGTTATTTCTAAGTTGAATCTTTCCTTGATTAGTTTCCATCCATTATTCCTGGTCTGGCCTTCAGGTGCCTTAGAAAATAGCTTGACCTTTTCCTCTCTGTGGCAGCCCCTCAAATATTGGAACACTGCTATCATGTCTCCCCCCCTTTTTTTTTTTTAATTAAATTTGTATACCGCCCTACTCCCGAAGGACTCAGGGCGGTGAACAGCCATGAAATAAAACATATAAATACAAAATTTAAAATAGAAATAAAACAAGTTAGATAAATTTGGCTGAACCATATTTAAAACCCCAATAATTTAAAACCAAATTTAAAATTCCCATTCCCCCTGGTCCTTCTCTTCACTAGACTAGCCATGCCCAGTTCCTGTAACCGTTCTCTTCTCTGCACTTTTTCTAGAGTCTCAACATCTTTTATATAGTGCGGTGACCAAAACTGGATGCAGTATTCTAGGGCTGCTGGGTATTTTGGTGTACTTAGAAAGTTTTGGAGGGCTTTAGTTGGTTTCTCTGTTACGGTGATGCCATATAGTTAGAAAACTAGCAGAACATATCCATGAATACCCACTAGTAGTCATTAGATATGATGAGAACTCCCTAATCTTACAACATATGGACAAACTGAACTGTAGTTTCATCTGGGAAACTGTGAGCATCATAGACCAAGCCAAATTCAAAAACACAAGAGAATTCCTGGAAGCCTGGCAGTCAGACAAATTGGACCATAGAGATAAACAATATCTGCATATCACTCAAAAGCGACAAACAAAAAACCAAAAAGGAACCAAAAAGACGAGAACACCTACTTATCAGCAATAACAACATCCAGATGAGCACATCTCGTTTAACACTATATCAACAATCAAGAAGTAAATAATAGCCCAAACAAGGAACTACCAACTCAGACAAACACGCTAACAGTAAACATCAGCCTAATCAAGGAACCATCAAGAATACTCCCACCAACACTGACAGAGCAAACCATTAGTATACTTCTCGGTCTTTTGACTAAGATCAAGTATAGTGTAGTATACAAAATGAGAGCAAACCCCACTCCCTTCTAACTCTGATCGTTACCCAGTTTGGTAATGAAATGTCTGCAAGAAAACAAGAAAGCTTAGAGAGTACCAAGGATGTTACAGATCAACCCTGAGCTGTAAATATTTGTTTCTATCAGAATTTTTCTATTTTTCGTATTGTTTTGTTAAAGCTACACTTGGTCTGTTGTGTGGATGTTTGGGTAGTTTAGGGGTGGGCAATTTGTGGTGGGTGGGTGGGTGGTATTTGGGGATTGTTATGTTTGTTGGACCTGGTCTTTGGGTGTTAAGTGAATTTTGTTGTATGGGTATCTGTGTACACACGTACAATGACAATAAAGTTATTATTTTATCTTATTATTTTATTTTAAAATAGGAATTACTTGAGATATGAAATGGTGTTACCATGATTGATTGAGCACATGATGCAAAAATGACAATTTGTCTTTAAACTTGCCCAGTTTCTTCAGCTGTGCATAATGTAGATAGTTATTTCTCCCTTATTTTTTGCTAGCCACAATTAAACCATGGTGATCTTTACCTTGAATTGATTTGTCCTCGAAAATTGTGATAAAAACTAAAGTTGTGCTGACTGAAGACTTCAGTCCATGTTTTGTGAAAGGTGTCTCTTTTGCTTCGTAAGTAGTTCAGGAGGTCCCCATAGCAACAATATTCAAAAATTAAATAAACTGGTCCTAAAAATACATGTTTAAAATATAAGAAAGCATCTTTTACTTAATATATACTTAGCATGCATCATATTGAAAAAAAATAGACATTTCTTGGATGTAGAAAAAGGAAATGAATGTTGTTAGCAATTTTCACCTCAATCATATAAAAATGAAATCTCTGTATCTTATACTTGTTCCAAAGACTACAAGTCTTTGAATTCTCATTATAAGACATGCTAGCTAGGAATTCTAGGACTGTAGCAAAACATCTGTTTGACACCAGATTGAAGAAAGATGCAGTATTCTTACTTGTGGCAACTCTTTTCACTTTTATCCCACTCTTATCCCACTTAAGAAAATTCTCTGTTTCTATGTCCAACTTATTTCATATAATGGTAAGGGATCTTCCCTGAGACTGCTGTTCCTAAAAACATCTAAATCCTGAAGACATAGCTCTACAGGATATTTCAGAGAGGTTATATATTAATCTGTCATTTAATACACTATCTGGAGGTATCAAATAGTATAGAAGTATACAGTACATCACTGGATTGTGGCAGGGGTCTCAAAACTTTTCAAGATGACGGGTATCCTTTAAATGCAATGATGTTCTTTCAAATGACTGTAATGGGAGGGCTTCCCCATTCCTAAATGGTTAATATGGTGAATGCTCCTCACCAGAAAAGAACACATTTAACAGAAGTCATAATGGTGCCGTTTCTTGTCATTCCTTCTAACTATCCAATATATTTTCTACTACTCTAGTTTACATTTTATTTTTTCTGGCCAGTTAGGCAATGTATTGGACATTTTATTTTCTCAATATGTCTATGGGGTTTGTGATATCTAAAACCATTCTTGGAAATAAAAATATGCTACAGTAGGTGGCTATGAACACACAGATGCCCACCAGTGTCATGCAAGGACCTCAAATTTTTATTTATTTTTTATTTTGTCGCGTACATATTAGATAATATATATATAAGTATAAGCATGAATTGAATGCATAAAATGAATACAATTAAAGGGAACATTAGGACAGGGACGGTAGGCACGCTGGTGCTCTTATGCACGCCCCTTACAGACCTCTTAGGAATGGGGTGAGGTCAACAGTAGACAGTCTTAGGTTAAAGTTTTGGGGGTTTGGGGATGAAACCACAGAGTCTGGTAGTGCATTCCAGGCATTGACCACTCTGTTACTGAAGTCATATTTTCTGCAATCGGGTTTGGAGTGGTTCACTTTAAGTTTGTATCTATTGTGTGCTCATGTATTGTTGTGGTTGAAGCTGAAGTAGTCATTGACAGATAGGACATTGTAGCAGATGATTTTATGACCTATGCCTAGCTCATACCGAATGTATGACTTAATACTCTAGTTGTTAGTACATTTCAGAAATAGGTGGCTCACCTGACTTGGTGCATGCTCCTAGCAGATTCACAATGTTTTCATGACTTCCAATACGAATCATCATTTTGAGTTCAGACATTAGAGCATCTTTTTCCAAAGAGTCATATTTTTCTGTAAAGGTAACATGGCAGATAGTAACTACCGGTATACAGAATTTTTACAATAAAATATATACAGCTTGAAATACATTAGAAATAATTTTATTAACAGAATTACTAATTCAGTCAAATATTTCTCTTGCAGCAGGAAATGAGAGTGAACAAGTAAAAGATGGCTATAGCTCTTAGAGAAGTGCCTTGTTTCCTAGTTCTGTGATATCATGGGAGAGTCCATTACAACTCAAAAGTAAAGGAAACATAAGGAAGAATAAGAAAGACTGTGTTAAATGCCTACCCACACCTGCAGTGATTAGGAAATACCTTTTAAGGAAAGAAGAGAAACTCATCCTAAAATAAATGGGGAAAATGATACAGTTGTTGACAGCTGTAACTGTTGTACAAGTTCATTGCTTGCACTAGGTTTTGATGATAACACGTTTCTAGCAAAACACCAGGATGTATGACAAATTTAATACAAATTTATTTCTATGTTAAATAGTCTAGTTCTCCCATCATATATAGTACTTCAAGTGCATCTTTATGGCATGGAACCAATTGGTATCATTCTCTTTAGTGGATTTTTCCTCTTGCTCTTTTTTCAAATATTGCACCTAGAAAGGTATCCATTTGCAAAGGATATCAAAAGAATATATGTATATGAAATTGTTTAAATTAAGAAGAACTCTATAATTAGAATTCTTTCATATAATTTCAAATTAGATTCCTTTAATATAGTTTAAATTATATTAAAATTAGCTTTTTAAGTAAAAAGGACTTTTAGAAAAATGATGTAAAAAGACAATGTTCATTGAGATGGATGCTTTTTTTAAAAAGCATCTAATACAGAATATTGAAGAGCACACAGCAAAGTCACAGTGTAAAAACAATGATAGAATAATATTAGGTCAACATATCTGGCTACCGACTTGGACCAGAAATATATTGATTCACATTACTTTAGGGACTTTCATGGAGAAAATCTATGTAGTTGCTAAAAGTCAGCACTGACTTTATGGCATGTAATCAATAAGTCTGGTGAGTTAGAAGTTATCTATTTCAACATAAACTTCATATTGGCTGTATGTGTGCATCGCATTTATCCAACAACCAAACCATGTTTTAGTTAGTTCACATGACACATATATGTGTTGGTAATGAAATAAAATGTCATTGGCTAGATTGTAGTTCAATCTGTGGCATAGAGATAACTACTCTAATCTGTTCCTTACTGCTTTCAAATCTTAGAAAGAATTTATAACACACAAATATCAGAAAGCTAATCGTCTAACCCATCTTTTAGGATGTAAAGCAGGGGTGAAATGCTTCCGGTATGGACCGGATCACCCGATCCGGTAGTGATGGCGGCGGGTGGTTCGGAGAACTGATAGCAAAAATTCCTGCGCCTCCCCTATGCCCAGCTGAGCTGCGCGATCATCAGAGGCTTTTTTTTTACTTTTAAAAGCATTTTTTCTACAACCTTTTCCGACGAAAAAATGCTTTTAAAAGTTATAAAAAAAGCCTGTGATGATCGCGCGGCTCAGCTGGGATCCTCAGAGGCTTTTCAAAGCATTTTTTCCTGCAACCTCTTGGACGAAGAGGTGGTAAAAAAAATGCTTTGAAAAGTCTCTGACGATCCCAGCTGAGTTGCCTGATCGGCAGAGAGGTATTTTTTTAAAAGCCTCTCTGAAGATCCCAGCTGAGTTGCCTGATGGCAGAGGCTTTTCAAAGCATTAGAAAAAATGCTTTGAAAAGTTAAAAAAAAAAGTTGGCCACGCCCACTCAGTCACATTACCAACCCCCCACCAAGCCACGCCCACAGAACCGGTAGTAACAAATTTTACATTTCACCCCTGATGTAAAGTACATGCTACAGCATGGATTTCAGGTCAGAAGACTCTATTGCCTCCAAAAACCACACTCAAGAGATAGATGGCAATCTATAGATGGAAAATATTTGATTGCACTGAAATGGACAGGTTAACGATGGAAATTAAAGACAAAGGAGAAACAGAGTATTACCTGATATGGGACCTATGATACAATTGGCTAGACAATAGATGCAAAGGTTAGAAAATGGATGATGAAAGAGGATCAACAAGTTAGAAACAAATACAGGTATAAAGCTATATAGAAGAATATGTATTGTAATTTTTTTACTACTGGTTCTGTGGGCATGGCTTGGTGGGCATGGTGTGGCTTGGTGTGGCTTGGTGGAAGTGGCTTGGTGGGAGTGGCAGGGGAAGGATACTGCAAAATCTCCATTCCCACCCCACTCCAGGGGAAGGATACTGCAAAATCCCCATTCCCTCCCCACTCTAGGCCCAGCCAGAGGTGGTATTTGCCGGTTCTCTGAACTACTCAAAATTTCCACTACCAATTCTCTGAACTGCTCAAAATTTCCGCTACCAGTTCTCCAGAACCTGTCAGAACCTGCTGGATTTCACCTCTGATTGTAAGCAATATTGGTACTAGATTGTACATAATTGCAAATCAAAATATATAGAGTGATAAATGTATAGAGAAGTATGTTATAACCATGGATACAATAGATATAAGTATGTTGTATAATATCAAGTTCTTATTCTTTCTTCTATAGACTATACTGTATGAACAAGAGAAAAAATGGTTGTAACAAGGGTATGACATCATGTATATTTTAAAAGGTGCTGATACAACCAGCATATCGTTGTTGCAAAATTCAAATTGTGATGTAAAATGAAGGAAAATGTACAATAAAAATATTAAAAGAGAGAGAGATGACATGATAACTTGTCATAAGAGAGAGCTGTTGGTCTTCTTTAGTTGTGCTTGAGGACCACCAATAATAACTGTTTAGAAAGGGATTGGTCAAGCACAAGCAACCAGACTATACACAAGTGTATAGAGTCCAAGCTTACTACTTTAGTGATGGGAGAAAATTGGGTTGATACAGAGAGACCACATTCTCCTTAAACTTTTGGCTACCTTTAAGCATTTTGACGGCAACTTGGATGGATGCTCCAGGTTCACTAATTCCATATGCAGTAGCATTCATGACTTTTCCAAAGGCACCAGAGCCCAGTACTTGCCCTATAAAAAAAAGAAAGTATTCTCCTTATTTTACAATTTGTGTTTGCTTATTTCATGATTAGCTTCAGGAAGAGTACCATGGACAGCTCACCAAATTTCAGATTTTCTCTGGGAAACTCCCACTGGACATCATACTCCAACTCACTGAAATTAATGTAGATGTATTCATTGTTGGAAGAACCAACCATTTGTATCATATGCAGTTGTCTTTCATATCTAAATTGCTAGAGGGAATGGGACATTGTGAATGGTAAAAGCAACACACAAAGGGAGACAGAAATGAATAAAGAGTGTCAATTTTGCTGTTACCTTTTTATAGTTTCGGTAAGTTAATATGCACAACCCAGCGATAATTGGAAAGCAGACTCCAAATGTTGCATATAGCAAAAGATTACCTGGAAAGCAAATGCAAAAATTCACGCAATTTGAAAAACAGTGAAAGAAGGAAGTAAATATTTACTCTCCTTGAATGAATGAATGCTTTCTGACAAAATTGACTGTAGAGTAAGTACTAAAGCTTCCCAGGATAGAATTTGCAAACCTTTGAGGTGCTGCATGATCCTTATTAGACTTGCAAATATATATAACATATACAGTACATTAATTCTTATAAACCAAGCCTTCCTGTCTTGAAGAACATGCCTCTGTCTATCAATGGAAAGTTAAGAATTGTTCATAAAAAAAAGCAAAGAATGAAAGTTTAGGTTTTAGGTTTAGGTTTTATTAAATTTGTATACCGCCCTACTCCCGAAGGACTCAGGGCGGTGAACAGGCACAGGATAAAATACAGAAATACAAAAGTTAAAAACAATTTAAAACCCAATTAAATAATTTGGCCCACGACAATTAAAATCCCAATAAATTTAAAACAAATTAAAATTTCAATTTAAAATTTAAAAGAAAGGGGAGAAAAATTAGGCCAGGCCAGCTTGCTGGAATAAGAAGGTCTTAAGAGCACGGCGGAAAGTGTGCAGATCTGGGATCCTCCATATCTCCGGGGGGAGCTTGTTCCAGATAGTGGGTGCCCCCTCAGAGAAGGCCCTCCCCCTGGGGGCTGCCAGTCGACACTGCTTGGCTGATGGCACCCGGAGGAGCCCCTCTCTATGAGAGCGTACCGGCATACAGGCCTACCTGTTCTGTTGGTGTGGCTTATTTTGTGAGTGTGGTTTGATGGTCATGTGACAATTCTTTAGGCTTTAGCAGAGGTACTGGTCTACCAGGCTTTTAACTGCTTGTAGAGCTGTACCAGTCTACCCATTTGTTTTTGGAGTGTCCTGGTCTACCCATTTGTTTTTGGAGTGTCCTGGTCTACCCATTTGTTTTTCAAGCGCACTGGTCTACCACCACACTGCCTTTTAACACTGATCAGCTGTAGAGCGGCCCTTTGAAGCCCACAGCAAGAGTTTAAACAGTTTTTTTCCTTCTAGCCGATCAGCTGGAACTTGGGAGGCAGCGAAAAATTGGGGGCGGGGCCAAATAAAAGGTAAGAATAATGCGGGGGGTGGGACAGCCCAGCTCCTGAACAAAGAGAACCGGTTCGGTGACGTCATATCATCACCGCTACTGGCTCGGCCAAACCGGGCTGAACTGGGAGGAACCCACCACTGCTCCATAGTATTTCACCATATCCTCAGTAGTCTAAACTGTGCAATTATACACTACCTTTTGGTTCGACAAAATAAGTTTCACAAGAATAGCCAACTGAATTGCTTGCACAGCATTCAACGAAATGTCCAGTTTGTATGTTCTTTGTATCTAAAGTGCTCCTTGAGATCCAGGAGCCAAATATTCTTCCTTGACGTCTTTCATTTGAAATTCCATCTGTGATTTCAGTGCAACTGAAAGAAAGAAAAATGTATTCACATTTTCTAATGCTCATGCAAACTATTGAAAATTCAACATTACAAATAAAAAAATAAGTGAGAACTTCTGGGGGTTCAGTAGGAGGAATTAGAAAAAATCAAGATGGCAACTTTGGATAAAGTCCTGCCCCCCCTTTTGCATATATCACTGGACTGTGGATGGCATCTTGATGTTTTTGGTCTTCGGATTCCTTCCTCCTCCAAAACAAAATGACCCTGAGAATTTTATATAATCATGTACTTTAGCATTAGATATGAAGGAATGGTATAAGATGCCATCATTTTTTTAAGTTACAGGTTCTTTATATTTGGTAGACCTAACATGGAATGCATGTTAGAATATTGACTCACAGAAAGGGAATTCTCAGATTCCATCTGATTGCCCACCACCATTTAATCTAGAAGTGATGTAATATATTAACGAATCTTAGGGCATATTTTGGCCCTCGCTAATGTTGTCTTTATAGATTTTTGCTAGGGTATCCCATCTATCTGAGGGAAGATAATGAGAAGGCCATCTTAATTTCTGCAGTCCATTGTTGATTGTCCATACCCTAAGAAACATTTTTGATATTGCTTACTGTCAGATTATTCATGAACTGGTAGAGATATGGTAACAAGATCAGCCAATGAATAGGCATAACAACTAAGTCAGCTGAGACAGACTGGAGCCAAGGCGTGTCTTAATCTGCAGCTTCTGAGTCTGTGCAGAGAATTGAAACTGAAACCAACTTGTGTTTTCACAGTTGTGAACTTGTCTGCTCTGCTGAAATGAAACTAACTGTTCTGTCCTGCCTTGTGTTATAACTGCTACTACGTTGAAGAAGAATCTATATTGATATTGTAAATACTTCATCTGTTATTCTTGTATATAAAGAAGTTAATGAGTCCTGCTGAATCAGTTTATCTGTGTGTGGTTCTGGATTTGATTTTTTTAAGAAACTCTGATACTTACATGCTTTAAAACATGGGTGTAAAACTTGCTGCATCACGTTGCCATCATGTGACATTTCGTGATGTTTTCCCCATTCATGGAGCTGGGGTGGGTGTGGCCTGCATGTGACGCATCCGGCCCGCGGGCTGCCAGGTTTGACACCCCTGCTTTAAAAGAAGACCAACCTTACAAGCCATTATTTGGAAGAACAGAACTAAGAAAGGAATCAGTTAGCAGGGCCTTATTTTATCTTATCTATGGTGGCACAGTAGTTGCAGGCAAATTCTGCCCACAGCCAGGAGTTCAATCCTGACTGGCTGAAGGTCGACTCAGCCTTCCATTCTTCCAAGATAAAATGAGAACCCAGATTGCTGGGGGCAATATGCTGACTCTGTAAACTGCTTAGAGAGGGCTGTAAAGCACTGTGAAGCACTATAACTTTAAGTGCTATTGCTATCACTATTTGACAGTTTCTAGAACTATAACTACCAGAATTGTAATTGATGAGATGGCCTGGCATGAGAAGACTGCAGGAATGGAACTGGCATGATGTAACCCTATTTGCAGCAGGAAGAATAAAATGAGGAGCATTCTGGAAAATGGTAAACTGGGACCAGTGGTGGGTTGCTCCCAGTTTGGCCCAGTTCTATAGAACCAGTAATAAAACCGGCGGGAGGCTCTACCCACCCGCCACAACATCATCATGGGTGATCTGCGCATGCCCAGAAGCTTCTGCACATGAGCGCTCCCATTGCGAACCAGTAGTAAAGGTAAGTGGAACCCATCCCTGGCTGGGAGTCCTATTCTGTATGTAAGGGAATGTTCTGTATGTAAGGGAACACATACAGAACATCCGTATGTGTTCCCTTTCTCTAAAGTTCTTAGTTCAAGGTTTAGGACAAGATGGAAACTTTTCTCTATAATTTATTCAGAGAAATATTTTGAACTCTGACAGGTGCTCTAGGAAGAGATGTGTCATGGAATCCATTTGTCTGACCCAGTGAGGTCGATCAAATCTTTTATTCCTGTGGCATCTTATTTACATTTAAAAAAAAACCCATTATGTCAGTATTGTATGATCCATAACTATATCATAGTTAATCAATGGAGAGGAACCACTCACATCAATGGAACAATTCAAAGTAATTTTTTAAATTTACTTGATATGTTTTCTGTAACATTCCTTCCAGATCCACAATGAAGCAGGATTGCTTTCAGCCATGCAAGATAACTGATTAAATGTTGAGCTCATGTTTACTTTAGGCATGCCTGCAGAGATAGCAGCAAAGATGATAGATAGTTCAGTAATTCAATTTTGCAAACATTGCCAGAACAGTTTCCCAAAACTTAAGCCTTTTCTGTTTTAACTAGTTCTGATTACAAACCCCTTTGTCTAAATGGATGGATCTGTCTTTGACTCAAAGTCAAGTATATTTAAAGCCAAACCTAGCACAGAATAAAAGATATTACACAGCAGTACTAATTTTGTTGATCTTGTTTCTTAAAACATACTCACTCTTCACATAGAGTCTTAATGTCCTCTTCACAAACACATCAATATTTTCTGCATAAAATAAATATTCGCCCGGTTGGTTTTTATGATCACAAAAGCTTGCAGAGATGCTGTTTCATAAAGGAAGGAAGGAAGGATCATTCAACTGTACATTCAGGTGTAGTCTTTATTGAAAGGCTCTATGGTGAGTTCTTAAGCTACCCAGGTTACTCTCAAAGAATAAAAACCACCAAATAACATTGCAACCAAGTAATGTTGTTCTCTCATGAAGGTTTAAGAAGCAGAACCTTCACTATAGCATCGGAAACTATGGAAATAACTCATGGGAAAAATCATTTTCTTTTCCTTTATATTGCAATAAGGAAAGGAAGCTTCCTAATCTCTACAAGTGGGCCAACCAGACAGACTTTTAGGAAATCAACCACAGATACAATTTTACATTTGCATCTGGTCGTGTATTTGATCTTTCCTCCAATGCCATATAATACAACCCCCCCCCACACAAAACCCCCATTTTTTTATTCTCCCAAACCCCCCACCCCCTCAGTTCTGCTGATTTGATCTGAAGCTGGGCACAGATGGATTTTGTGGATTTGAAGAATACTAATATTCCCTCATGTTATGAGACCAGAAAAAAGTTTTGCAATTAAGAATGCTCTTCCTGCTCTTCTTCAGGATGAAACTCTCTTCATTAAAGGTAGTGGACCATATAATGTAGCATATTGCTGAAGGGCTCATTGGTAGATAGTTGTTTTTTAAACTTTTTGGTCTGGGGCTTAGGGGTATGACCAGCCCAACCTACCAGATCAACATTTCTAGCTAAGACTAGGAGCTGAGAGTCTCTATTCCTACTTCATTGTCTTAACTACTCTACCACACTGGCTCTCCAAATTTCCGATCAATAGTCCAGTCATTTATATAAACTAAAAACAGGATGGATAGGTAATAAGATAGGTATGTAGACAGATAGGTAGGTAGGTAGATAAACAGATAAATAAGATGATATAACCCTATTTCTAATCTTTTAAAAACTGTAATAACACAAAAAATTCAGATTTGTATCCATTAAGGAAAGCTTTCATGTCCAGCTTTGATCTGGCGGGAGGGGGGGACAGGTGAGAATCTACAGCACCACTATCAGAATAAACAGTAAACATAGTAGAGGTCAAGAACTTTCAATTCTTAGGTCAAATGAAGTCTTCCAGGTGTTTCAGTCTGAATCTTCAAATTTTGTTTTTTTTTTTCCCTCTTCATTTATCCTGCTCCATAGTTACTCCATGAACTACAAAGCTTGTACAAATTGCAAAGAACAGAAAATGCCTGGATGTATTTTTGCCAGTTTTGTGGTCACTCATTTGGTATGCTAAATAAAGATAAAACCACATTTCTACCTATATTTGACTTTGACTGTCCTGTGGTGGCATGTAGCAACTAAAGATTTCAAGGGAAGTAACGAAACTTCCTTAACAGGAAAAAAAAAAAAAACCTTACCTCCTATTTTGCAAAAAGAGATTACAAAAAGAGGTTTGAATCCTGCATTTAGCCTGCACCAGCCATCTAGCCCTGTATAACACAGGTAAATGAATAGAGTGAAAGAGCATGCATTTTCTCTTTCACCTGGTCTCAAATTTACTACTGCAGGGAAATCTCAGATAAAAATACATATTGCTCAAACAGAAAATTCCTACCTCCACATGTTAACTTCATCTCAAAAATGCAGATTGTACTTTAATTATTTTCCCTGCACTGTGCTGAACTCAAGAACAGCAGAAGCAAATGATGCTGGCCTGGCATAGCACAAGGAGCAAGAAAGAGCAAAGCATGACATGTAGTTCAAAGGAGAAAAAAATGGGGCAGGCAGAAGACTCAGGATCAATTTATTGACAGCTGGAAATATATGAGTTGGACTCCTTCCTTCACTTTTCCTGTCAGGCATCAAGATAGTCACACAGCCTATTGGTATACACACCAAACAATCACTGACCCAGGAGTCTTTATTAGAATAACAGAGTTGGAAGGGACTGTGGAGGTCTTCTACTCCAACCCCCTGCCCAGGCAGGAAACCCTACACCACTTCAGACAAATGGTTATCCAACATCTTCTTAAAAATTTCCAGTGTTGGAGCATTCACAACTTCTGCAGGCAAGTTGTTCCACTGATTAATTGTTTTAACTGTCAGGAAATTTCTTCTTAGTTCTAAGTTGCTTCTCTCCTTGATTAGTTTCCATCCATTGCTTCTTGTTCTACCCTCAGGTATTTTGGAGAATAGTTTGACTCCCTCTTCTTTGTGGCAACCTCTGAGATATTGGAACTGCTATCATGTCTCCCCTAGTCCTTCTCTTCATCAAACTAGACATACCCAATTCCTGCAACCGTTCTTCATATGTTTTAGCCTCCAGTCCCCTAATCATCTTGGTTGCTCTTCTCTGCACTCCTTCTAGAGTCTCAACATCTTTTTTACATCATGGCAACCAAAACTGGATGCAGTATTCCAACTGTGGCCTTACCAAGGCATTATAAAGTGGTTATTATTAGTTATTTACAGCATCTCTGGAACAGCTTTAGAACCACAATATTACATCTTGCCATTAAGTCTTGCTGCAAAAGACAATTCACACAGCGTTATCCTGCTGTTGTCCATATTAGAAAACACCCAGCAGCCAGAAAAACAGGGGAATCAGAAGAAGATGTTGTTATGCCAGCACAGCGGCAGCTCTTTCAGTTCCCACAGCAAGGGCTGGTTTCCACTGTAGCTAGAAAAGAGTCTAGATGGTTTTTAACATGTTCCTTGTGGGTCAAAAAGAAAGAGCATAAATACAATGGGATTCTCAACAGGGGAAGGGCTACTTGCAGATTAGCAGTTTTGAAAGAAAAGAGATATCAGTAGTGTCTCACCCTTTAAGGAACCTCTGATCATGACTGATGACAGGGAAATAATAATAAAAAAGCCACACACATTGGAGGAATCTCATCATATAATTTTTGTTTGTTTGTTTGTTTTAGTCCTGAGATTTTCAGGTGTAAGATTTATCTAAAACAGAGGCCTTCAAACTTGGCAGTTTTAAGACTTGTGGACTTCAACTCCCACAATTCTCCAGCCAGCATAGCTGGCTGAAGACCTCTGACCTAAAATGTGGATGATGAATGTATTGGAACAACAGTTTAGCTGCAGTTTCATCAAAATTCATGTTGGTGGGATTTCACTGGTACTGAACAGAAATCCACAGGAGGATATTTTTGAAATCTATCAATATTTAAGCAGAGGGCTAAATTCAGTGGTGGGATTCAGCCAGTTCGCACCACTTCGGGAGAACCGGTTGTTAACTTTCTGAGCAGTTTGGCAAACTGGTTGTTGGAAGAAATTATTAGGGCAGAGAACCAGTTGTTAAATTACTTGAATCCTGTCACTGGCTAAATCTATGGGTCCAAAAGCTTGCTTAAAAATTATAAGAGGAAATAAGCAAATCACAAATAACTATGTTTCCATCAAATGTGTTATTTTTCTTAATAACATTTTTCTTGAGAATCAAGGCATATTATGTGTGATATGGGACATATAAGATCACTTTAAAAAAAAAAGGAGTAGATCATTTTTTTTTACAAGCCCCATCTCTGAAGGCAAAATTGCAAGCATTAATTGGCTTTTTATTGCTGCATATTTGGTAGCCATAGAAAACCAGAACTGATTGTAGGTGAGTAAGGGACACAATTCTCCATTTTTCTTTAATACAAAGAAACAGGTGAGCTGCTCAAAAAGAGCACATTTCTCCATGATGGTCATAGAAATGTGTTTATCCATCTTCTCCTAGCCTCCAGCAGAATAGCTAAAAAAAAAAAAATCCTTCTGACTTTATTTACAATATTGTAAGTAGAAAACAAAAACAAAAATAGTTATGCATAGATTTCAGTTTCATAAGATTGATTCAGTCTGGAAAATTAAACCAACTTCTGCTGCAAAATAAAGGAAGATTTGTTGTATCAACATTAATAAGTTTTGCTTGATGCTTGATTGAAGAAGTGAAAGCAAATAAAGAAGGAACAGAAAACTAAAAGGTACCTAGAACACTTTGTGGAAAATCTTAGAGGAAGTAGTAGGTGGAGTGGAATCAAAATACTAAAAAAGAAAGAAAAAAATTATGCGAGGAATTTATTTATTTATTTTCAAATGTAGAAATTCTTCTCATTGTATTATGCATTATTTGCCAAACCTTGCTCCTCTTTTCATCTGAGCAAAGAATGAGAACATTTGTTCACAGTTTTACTGGGATAGGCTCTTCAGCTTTTTGTTTTTTACTATAAATTTGCTAAAGTTGCTTCTACTCTCCAGTTTCTTGTTTCTTTTTTTCCTGATAGAAGTCATTGCTCTCTTTTATCCCCTGGACATTGCTGCTAATTTTGAACAGAGAAATAGCAGGTCTGATCCCTGCTTTGTTGTGTCTCCTCTGTTCTGCAGGAAAAGAGTCAAAGAATAATATACACTGCTCAAAAAAATAAAGGGAACACAAGCAGAAGACATCCGAGAGTATTTAACAAGTATTTAATACAAAGTACAAAGTATTTAATAAGGCTATTTCATTCATTCAGATCTCGGATGTCTTCTGCTTGTGTTCCCTTTATTTTTTTGAGCAGTGTATATATTTAACACCTATCCTAAAGAAAACAAGACAAAAAAAAAAATAAAGACAGACTCAAAAAGTATTCGAGAGGAACAAAAAAAGGCAACTATTATTAGTAATCATACTAATAAGCCAGCAATTCTGCACAGCAACTATATCAACCTAAGGCTGCGTTCATAAAATAAGGCATAGTTCCATCCAATTCTGTGCTAGGAATGTGACTTAATCTCTTTTGCTTTAGAGGGCAGGATTAAAACTAATGTAGAAACTGCAGGGAATTAAATATCAGCTCTGATTTAGGAGAATCTTCTTAAGAGTTCTAATTACAGGCTCTGGGATGGGCATCTACAGTATGGATCAAAATAAATGTAAAGATAATCACATCAGAAAAATATACTGTACATGGTAACCAAATCAAAAAAGGAGGCTGAACAGATGAGAAATGTAGGTTCCTTAGTCAGTCTTAAGTAAAAAGTGCTCTGAAATAGTTCTTTAAATAAACAAAATGCTTTCAGGATAGAGGAATCCACAAAGCTGCATAGGGGCACCATGTACTTTCAAGGTCTGTTGCACACAGACCTACCAGCTTCCTCCTTATGTTTGAAAAAAGCTGAAGGCAGGAAGGGAAACATTTATTTTTCGACTTTAATGTTTGCAGAGTCATAGAAGCCAAGACACATCTCACTAAACTAGCACCTTTTTAATATCCAGCTTGCTATCTTAATAAAAAAAATACTTGGACGTTCCAAAATCACATGTAACATCCATTGCCTAGAAATTAAAAGTACAGTAACAACACCCCCACCACCCCCACAAACCAATAAAGTCTTAAGTACATCAGCACATGACATGACCAAACAGCTTCATAGTGGGACCAATCATCAATAATGCTGCTACTACTGTAAAGCCAGCTTTAAAAAGTTCACCAAAAATACAGCCTTGCTGGTCCTCATTACTGCCTGATAGAAGGAGGGACAGATAATTAATTAATGCTGGAAGAGAAGAGGGAACATGCAGAACAAAGAAATGAAAATGAAAATAACTTGAAGACACACAAATATTTTCTGCAGCTTTCTCTGCCCTGATATCCCTCAGTATCACCTGTTCTATACCTCAGTTTTAAAAATACCCTGGTTCTGGCAGCTGCTATTGTAATTTTTCACACTTTGACCTGGAATGGTGTTAAGAGCATACTGGGAAATTCATCAATAGGAATGAATTGAGTTTGTTTGTTTGTTTGTTTGTTTGTTTGTTTGTTTGTCTGTCTGTCTTAAGTTTATACCCCAAGGGAGAAGACTGAACTCAACCAAACTGAAGCACCTTCAAATCAGATTGATGCTTAAATTTTTACACAAAAATCTGTGCAACTTCAATATGCTGAATACGTGATGTATTCATAACTCTCTGCTGCATTCTGGAAAAAAGCCCCTGATTTGACAAGGCACTGGTAGGGTGCACCACATTAAAGTTCTCTATCATGAACTTTTTAATTTAACTGGAGAAACAATAGATTGCGGCATACAAAAAACAAAAACATGTACAACAAATAAATAGCATAGTTTTAAGCATCTTATCAGAAGTGGAGAAAATGTGCCAAAGCCCATTGCAGAAAAGTAATCAAATAAAGTGAATTACCTGTAAGTGTCTGTGTAAGTTTGCTGACATGGAAATGACATTTTAGAAAATATCCAAATGCATCTGATTGGTGGATAGGCTTTAAGTTTAACTTCAAGGCAGGTCTTTTCTTCTATGCCAACTTCAAAATCTTCCTTTGCATTGGTTATATTGATAAACCCTTTGTCTGTTAAATGATAGATCAACATTGTGTGGCAGAATTCAGTATTTATTTGAAGGATTTGAACATTAAGCACCTTTAATATTCCTTGGTCTACAGCAATTAATTATTGCTGTATTGATTATTGAATGGATGGGTGCAGTGGTGAAATCTGAACCGGTTTACTACCGGTTTGCTGGCTGCGCATGTGCGCTGCGCGCCAAACGCCTATTCGGCCAAATAGATTGTTAAAAATGCTTTTAAAAGTAAAAAAAAAAAGGCTCTGACAATTGCGCAGCTCAGCTGTGATCGTCAGAGCACTTGTTTTACCTTTTAAAAGCATTTTTTACAATCTATTCCTATAATTCGGGCGGGAAAAGCGAGCGAGCCAGAAAGCAGTGGCAAGTGGGTAAGAGGGCAAGCGGGCGACCGGGTGATTGGGTGGGCATGGGGGGGGGGCAGGGATTTTTGCTACTGGTTCTCTGAACCACCCACTGCCATCGCTACCGGATCAGCTGATCCGGTCCGAACCGGGAGCATTTCACCCCTGGATGGGTGTCAGACTTTCATTCTGATAGGAGCACAAATATGAGAATACATTGTAGGCCCTCCTAGTTCATGTTTTTTATAGTTCAGCTATATGTTTACAAGTAGTAGTGGCAGCTACATTTGCTTAGGAAGGCTAGAGACTGATCTTTAATGTGATAACATTCCCTTGTTATACTGTATTGTATGTTTCTTGACAACTGAGAGGCAGAGGATAGAAGTTCTATTTGACTCTCAATTAATAGACATTAGCCATTTCTTTCTCCAATAAAGATGATGTTAAATTATAGTTTTCATAATCATCCAATGAACGTGGTCAATGCTACCTATACTGGAAGGCCTATCTTTAAACATAATACCTTTTGAATACAAAGTTTTGAAACCAACAGAGTTAGTAAGCCTTGCAATCAGAACATAACATGTTCAAATTATTTTGAATTTTCATCAGTAGTTCCTTGTAATCTATCAAAAATTATGTTTTACAAAAATAAATTTCTTTCTGTGCAGAAGAAAATAGTTTTGAAAATTGCTGGACAATGATATGCATGTTTGAATAGGATTGAGAAGATCTGAAGTGTAATATAAGTCAAATAACTCAAGTGTAGTAACATTTCTATTCTCCTATACCAGAGGTGGACAATTAATTTTCCCAAGAGGCCATTTGAAAAACTGGGGCTGTGAAGGCATATAGGCACCCACGGACTCACATATGTAAATTAGAAAAAACCAATTGCATTCAAAATAAAAGCAATGCAATTGTATTACATCCAGTTGTGTGTTGCCCCTGGTTCGCACCGGTTCTATAAAACCGGTAGTAAAACTGGTGGGAGGCTCCGCCCACTGACCCTGATGTCATCAAAATGCTTCTGTGTGTGCGCAGAAGAGCGTGCCCACACACGGCCTCATTGCAAACTGGTAGTACAGGTAAGTAGAACCCACCTCTGATTGCATCCATGATATACACTTATTTACATTTGATTTCTAATTTCTGATTGATATCATGTGAGCCAGACAGGGATGAAACAGAAATATCTAGCACATTTGATTGCTTATTTTTCCTCCCCTTTTAGCAAAACCAAATATTCATTTGCATCAAGAATAATGACAAATATGAGTTCAAACTCCTATTACAATTGAAATTAACCATAGTTAAATCAATCATGTGACTATATGATAAACCTAGAAAAGAATGGAGAGACTGTCTAAAGTGGAATGTTCTAAATCTTAAATTTTAATTAGAAAGTATGAGGGGTAATCCATGAGCCACAAGTAATCATAGAATCAATGTTTCAGTTGCCAATTTCTAATGGCAAAACAAGGAAATTAGATTCTTATACCTTTGCACAGACTCAGAGGACTTTAACTGGCCAATAACCCTCCACTCCAATAATCAAGAGAAAAATTGGCCACAATCCACTGGCATGAGATACAGTTTTTGCGGGGGTGACACAACAACATGTGTTTATCTTCATTGTCAACATTTTATAGAAAACAACATACATTTTATCCAGTGGTGGGTTTCAAATTTTTTTACTACAGGTTCTGTAAGTGTGGCTTGGTGGGGATGGCATGGCTTGATGGGCGTGGCTTAGTGGGCGTGGCAAGGGAAGGATACTGTAAAATCTCCATTCCCTCCCCAATCCAGGAGAAGTTTACTGCAAAATATCCATTTCCTCCTAATCAGCTGGGATTTGGGAGGCAGAGAATAGATGAGGGTGGGGCCAGTCAGAATTTTTACTACCGGTTCTTCGAACTACTCAAAATTTCTGCTACTGCTGGCCAGAACCTGCTGAAACCCACTTCTGATTTTATCCTATCAATTATCTCTACTGCATATATCAACGTAAATAAATATGTCTTACCTAAAATTCTAACTATAGCAGTTTTCTTGGCAGCAATTTCTTCAGAAGAACAAGTATAATTACCACCATTATGTTGTTCCACAGATGACATAAATGCATACAGAGTCTTAACCCAAGATGAATTCAATTGCCATCTTCCTTCTAGCGTCATATTCTAAACGTTTAAATAAAGATTTGAATGTAAGAGTCAATAGCTTTTATTCAGGGTGGACCTATATAAAATTTCACATTGGGGGATATGTTAGTGGTGAATGAATATGGAGATTCTCAGTCATCCAGGTCATGGTTGTCCCAAAGGTGTTTTTTCAAGAGGCAACTGGACTTTGTTGTTTTTCTTTGAATACGTTTCGCTTCTCATCCAAGAAGCTTTTTGAACTCTGAATTGGATCCTTCCATTCCCCACCATCCAGTCAGAGCTGAAAAGCTTCTTAGATGAGAAGTGAAAAGTCAAACTTAGAGCAAACTCTCAAACCAAACAAACAAAAGAAGAGTTTAACATTATAGGATAGGAAGGGAATTAACCTTTAAGAACAACTCCGATGTAATGTAAGAAAGGAGTCTATTGAAAGAAATCTAGCAAGTTAAGAATGCTGAACAACTCAAACATTTTGTAAAGAGAACGGTTAGTATGTTTCATAGCAAATTGAATGTGGTAACTGTTCTTATTTGAATTGGGAAGTATGAGAAATGAAGTATGCTAAAATCATACATTTTATTTCATTTAGTATTTAATATAAGCAGTTGGAGTTGTTAGTAGTAACTATCATAAGAAAATGGATCATTTCATTACCTTTGTTAATTGCTTGTTTCCAAAATGCCACTTATTTCCAAACTGATGAGTGTTATATTTGGATCTGCATCTTAAGAACAGTGGATCTCCAACTCTGAGAAATAGTTCCTGCCCAGTGCTTTCTGATTTTCCACTCAGATCTGTATTTTGACCAAACACCATAAACCAACATGCTGAAATCTTTTATAACTTCCACTATGAAATAATACAAGAGGGCCTTATTTTTCTAGGTGAGACATTACAGTTCTTGCATTGAAATTGGTGGGTTAGGGGATGCCAGAAGTAAGATGGATGTTCCACGTGACTCATAAATGGTAAACTGCTGGTTTATGATTTAAACTCTAAGAATGTATTTGTGTCCCTCAGTTTAGGTGAGGGGTGTCCACTCGTGGCAACATTAAAACTTATGGACTTCAACTCCCAGAATTTCCCAACCAGCATACCAAGCCCCCCCAAAAACAAAACACCATAATTTATCAAAACCTTAAAATTATTTCCTCAGTTTATACAGATATATATTAGAACATGTAAAAAATGCATTGTAACATTTTGCACAAATACCACTCTAATACATAACATATATACAAACAGTGTTATTTACTTCCAACAAAAGAGTTAGGGTTAAAGTCAGAGTTAAATTGCACTGGTATTAAGATCTGTAGCTCATGTTTGAGTTTGTGCATTTGAATCTGATTATATGCTAAAGCAACCAAACACACTTACCAGTCTTTCCCAGATATAATAATAAATCTAGTCTAAACATCTGGCTGACTTTGGGACCAGCCATAATAATAATATAAATTTATATGCCGCCTGATTCCCAGTTATTTTGGGTGGTTTATGCTTCCAATCCAGTTATAGCTTCAAATATTGGGTGGGGGGGGGACCTTTTAAATTCTTTATGGAGTGAAGTAGTAAGGGCAATCCTCTGACTATATGCCCATGAGTAGTTCTTTCTATGCTGAAGTTTATGCTTGAGTTTAGGAATCCGAAGGCACAGTTAACATAAATTAATATACTCCAAGCAATATAGCCTAAGACATAAGCCTAAAATTGAAAATCAAGCTTGTCAGATGTTACATCTTTTATATTCTTCCCTATGGAGCAGAGAGTTGGCCTCTGACAGAAAGCCACTTGAAGAGACTAGAAGCATTTGAAATGTGGATTTACAGGCAGCTGTTACGTGTAAGCTGGGCTGACAAAATCAGAAATGAGGAGGTGATAAGCTGCCTGGGAAAATCAAGGGAAATCATCAAAACCATAAAAAAGTGAAAGTTAGAATATTTTGGACATGTGATGTGACACCCGGAAAAATATGGCCTACTTCACTTAATCCTCCAAGGAAAGATTGAAGGCAAACGAGATCCAGGCAGAAGAAGAACATCATGGCTTCAAAATCTAAGGGACTGGTTTGGGCAAAACTCAGCAGCACTTTTTTGTGCCACTTTTGATAAAAATAGAATCGCCACCATGATCGCCAACGTCCAATGACAGATATGATACAAGAAGAAGAAGAAGATATCATAAGGCAGACTCGGTTTGTACTTGAGTATTACCTATTGTATAAAGCTCTGTGCATACTTTGCTCCAGTTATTACCAATAGTTGCACAGCACCATACATGTGGTTCAAATGACAGGCCCTCTTTTCTTAAAGAAAGCTGTCCTTTCTGACTTTTCATCAGGTCTTCAGAAACAAATCTACACCTATAAATCAAAATAGCAACAGATTAATATAAAATGTTGGTGATGGTAATACTGATTTAAATGATAATCCTCTTCATAACTTTTTAGTATAGCAAAAATATAGCAGCGCAAGTAATGATATTCTATTCTTTACAGGTCATAGGTACTTTATGCTGCTTCCTAAATAAAGATTAAGTAATTTATCATCATTTAGGAATGGGGAAAAAAACTATATCTGAATAGTTTAGTGACTATTTAAGTTAGGAATTATGCTTCATCGCTAAATAGCTGTAGCTGTTTCAAAATGCCCACAGTTACAATGAAGTACAGTAGATGAGATTGTGATAACTGCAAAATATTTATATGTTTTATTGTAAACTGCCAAGTCTAATATAAACTAAATGAGCATGATCATCAATAAGGAAGGGGCTCATATACCAAAGATCTGCATAAAATCTATTCCTACTTGCTGGCTCCTTGTCTTGAGTCACATTGCACCACCAGCTTTAGGATGGCAGGAAGTCTTAGTGAAGGAGTACAATTATGAGAAAACCACTTCTTCCTGTGCACATTGATCTTCCTCATCTATCAATTGGCAGGCTTAAATCCAGGAAGCCCTGTCTGGCACTTGCTCAACAGCTGTCTAACAACTTTGACATCAACACACAATGGAAAGCCAAATGGGCTGCTGAACGCCCAGATACAGGCAGTTACATAGACGACCCTACGTAAAAGGTGTCAGGTTTTGACCTTCCTCGCCAGCATTGGTCAACTCTGAACAGGATCCGTACCAAACATGGTGTCTGCCAGGACTCATTGTCTAAGTGGGGTCTTGTCTCTACCCCTCAGTGTGACTGTGATGTTCCTCAGCAAAATATCCATCACATTGTGTCTGAATGTCCACCAAGAGCTTACACTGGCCTGATTTTTTCAACATAGACCACCCTGTCCTTGAATGGCTGGGTGGACTGGACATTAACATTTGAACCACTATAAGTCCATGTATTTGTCATACACTGAATAAATAAAAACCAAAGATCTGAGTCCATTATATCAATCCTTATTTTACTACTAAAGTCTCTTAGTTGTTTGATAGGTTTCATTGGCAGCTCAGAACATCTACAAATTCCTGTAATCTAGGCTGAGCTACACAAAATCTAAAGCAGGTGTTGTCTGGGCATTTAAATATATAGCCAAATATAAGGGGAAGTTGGTTTAAACATTTTCTGAAACTTAATTCCTAGGTTTCTTACATTCTAGAAGCAATGAGGTTTTTGCTAAAAGAGTGATATTGCCTACTGCTCTCATAGCCATGAAATTCACATAGCAAGAAATTTTAAGGCAGGAAGATCATTTTGCAATTTCAATGGATGAGTGTGGAAGTTATCGGAAATAAATAAATTCTATATACATAAACTCATAGCATTTGCCATAGCATTTTGTCAATTTACTGCATGACATCCTCTTTTAGAAAAATATCTCAGTCAAGGAACTACTATCTCAGACAAACAGTAAACAACAGCCTAATCAAGGAACCACCAAGAACAGCTATGCCAAAACTCACAGAGAAAGCCACTTATATATAAACGGAAAGCAAATCCCAGTCCTTTCTAGTACTGATGATGTAATCTAGTTGGGTAATGAAGTGACTGCAAGCAAAGCAAGATCAGAGAGCATCAAGGATCCCACGGTTCAACCCTGAGCTACAAATATTTTCTTCTATGGGCACCTTCTCTCAGATGATACATAAATAATGCAAAAATTGAGAGTCCCAGAAAAGAAAAAAAAAAAGACAATAGTTTGGAGCTACATACTTGTCATCAGGAACCTGGCAAGGCAACCATTCAAGAACTGGTGTAGGATGTCCTTCTGATATGCACCTCACACTTTCATCTCCATGTTTTATGAAATATGGCTTTCCTGGGCTTCCTATTGAAAATGATGCGTAAAGTGCTTTTTTAGTGCATTTTATGTATGCATTTTGTACATGAATCTTAGTTATTTTTTTAATGACAAAAATTATGCAAAGATTTTGTCTCTGCTATATACATAATGAAATTTCTATAGTTGCTCATCTCCAATTCTCTTGGTTGTCTTTCTATATTTTTCTATCTTTGTAAAACATCTAGAAGCCCTGGTGGCGCAATGGTTAGAATGCAATAATTCAATTCTAAAAATAGTATTGCAGGCTAACTCTGCCCATAGTCTGATGTTCGATCCTGACTGATTTAAGATTGATTCAGCCTTCCATCCTTCCGTGGTCAGTAAAGTGAGGTCCCTGATTGTTGGGGGCAATATTTGGGGGCTGACATTTGTAAACTGCTCAGAGAGTGCTGTAAAGCACTATGGAGCAACTTATAAGTCTAAGTGCTATTGCTAGTTTTATCTTTGTTTCAGCATGTCCATAAATTGCTCACTAATTCCTCATAAATTGTCTTTTGTTACTTCAACTTCTCAACTTTCACTTTTTGTGGATCTTATCAGCTCCATCCAACCATGACTTTCTGGGGCTTCCCCTTGTGCGTATTGTTTTGTGATTCAAATCTAATTTATTCTCCCTACTACCATTTATTCTCTCTCAAACCACCATATATTTCTTTCATGCTAGCTTCTTGCTCCTCTATTTAGTTGATATCCTTGATCCTACCTTTTCTTATTTCACCATTTCCAATGGATGTGTGTGTGTGTGTTTTCTTGTTTATTTATTTGTTTGTTTATGTAGCTTCTGTTATTTCTTTGAAACTGTCAAAGAATAATAAACTGTCATTTATTAAACCTGAGAGTTTCCCCCCTCAATTTGCATTATAGCATGTACCTGTTTTGGTATACAGATATGTCTTCTGATACGTGTACTTACAGTTCAATTTGCCTCATTTATATTGTTTTTGCAAACCATTTATGACCATTTTTTAATGCAAGCCAGCACAATATACTTTTTTTAAAAAATAAAAAGCAAAAAATTAGCACTGCTATGAAAAAATTGAGAACTCTGAATTCAAACGATAACCAAACTTCAGCTTGACATTGGCTAAAAAAATACAACATTAGACAAATTACTATTCAACATTGATTTCTTCCCTTCATCATTGCTAAAGGTGTTTTCTAAACAATTATTGGCCATGCTTGGGCGGGGAATACAGATACTTTTTTGGAATGGAGATAATTGGCTCTGTTTAGTCATGCAAGGACACATTTCATAAAATATGAATAAATACTGTATGTAAGCTGCAATATAAACTATATTTGATTAAATAACCTCCTGAGTAACTAAAGAAGCCAGGAAGCTTTTTAATAACAATTGTAAGGGCTTCATTGCAATCAGGAAAAAAATCAAGATACTAAGTGATAGAGTGATATTATCTTCCAAGCCCAAACTCTTAACTAGAAGCCATGGTTTCCAAATGAAATTCATTGAAAACTAATTAGATGGTAGCTTCTTTTATTTGCCAGCTGGTCCAAAGGTGAATCAAAGTGCCTAGGCAAGTTGCAAAAAAAAGGGCATTCATCTCAGTTTATCATTTGACCGTGTATGTGCATGTGGGAATTGAACTTTGGTGTTGAACATTTAGTCCAATTATTTCTATCAAAAACAGAACTGTGTAAGATTGTTACTAAAGTATTGTAACTATATTGTTACTATAATAAGGTTATATCCTAATTCTTATTTCAGCAGACTTCCTCAAACTGCACTCTCAGGTGAATTAGAGGGCCGATTGCTATGCTGTGCAGGAATTGTGGAAGTTGCTGTTGCAACAGATCTGAGAAGGCCTTAGAGCACATATTTGATTACTGAAAGTAAATTGTATTATCTAGGTTAATATTTTGGTTTAAAATAATGCCTTGGAAAGTTGGGGGTGAGTTGTGGCTTAGAGGAAGAGAATCCATGCATACACCTTTCCCCCATCTTAGTTATCTCAATCATACAATGATTATATGATGCTAGTTTTTCAGCTAGCGCAATCGGTTCTGCCAAACTCTTTAACAGAAAATTCGTCTTCTTGATAGAACTCCTGCATTGCATTTCTCATGGCCCTTGGAGTCAACCGCATTTGTTGAAATCTGATTTCAACAAATTTGTAACTTTGTCTTTATTTATCTATATACGTATCTTTATTTCACGTTTTGGGCCATTTTGTGCACGGAGTCCTGCTCTGGGTATCAGTAGTTTGTGTTCCCTGTATTTTTTTTTTCCTGAGTAATGTAAAAACTAGAAAGACCACAGAAAATGTCAGTTTTGAGCAGCAATAATTTCTGATTCAAAAGCTAAAGTCTCAAGTTCAGTTCAATTCTGAGTGAGGTTATGAGCTTGTAGGGGTTTTTTTTGACAACAGTATAAAAATATTTTGCATTGCTTTTCATCCCCCACTCCCAATTTTCTGATCCAACCTACAGTCCTGAAATTTTTTGGTGTTTTTCAATTCTGACAAGGCCCAAGCTTGTTTAGGTTTTTGAAATCAGCCAATGGCAGCTTGACGTTGCCATCTAGGTGGACAATTCCTCTAGAACTTCAACATTAGGCTTTTGCTCTCTGATTCTTAAATATATTCTTAAATATAATTTCTTGCCCAATTAGCTGACTCTCTTATACTTTTTAAAAAGGGGAAACAATGGTAATTATTTTTAAATAGCCTCATTTTAAAAACTTTGAAGACATTAAAGTTCCATGAGCTACTATTTTTATACAAATTTGTCAAGTACAAAACAGGGGTGGGGAGGTGAAAACCTATGTTTAGAATTAAGGAACAACAAGTTGTTCTTTTGTTTTCAGTACAGAGTTCACTCATACAGCAGCCCCACTCTCGGTTATCTTCGTGTTATCAGCCTAATTTAAGTGGCATGGTAGCTTTCAGCACTGTTGTGGTCAAACTGTTGGGAATCAGAAACTCTTGTTGCCAGATCACAGCTCATTCAGAGAACTACCAGTCAATCTTGTTATTCCAGGAGGCTTAGAAGTGTCCCAGCACCACTGCCATGTCAGTTTGATACTTTAAACTTTAGGGAAACATGAATTGACTCAAAGCATTTCAGAGCTTCTCCTTATGAAGGTTGAAACTGCTCTAGCTTTAAAGTAGTGAGAAGAGTGGAAAAATATCCCACAATAATGGAACTAACATGGAAGTTGGATTATAAATAGAAAAAAGGATAAATGGTTTAAGAGCACAGCATCCAAAACATTTTCAAGTTTCAAAATTTTTCATTTCTACCCATTTATCTCTCCTTTAAATGTTAGTCAGAACAGCCCTTATTGGGGAGCTATTTATGTATTATCAAAAAATGGTCTTGCTTTAATGCACCCCATGCCAAAGGGAATGCACTTTACATGTAGAGACCAAAATGTAGAAATAATTATTGTGATTAAATAGAAATATAATATATGCCATCTTTATAGAGAAGACTATGGGCAAGTGACAGGTTTGTGCACAAGTACTTTTTGGTGCATAACTAAGACCTTAAGCTTTCTTTACTCTTCTTGGAAGAGTCCAATCTATGGGGTATATTTTAGTATGCCCTTGAATTCCAAATGTAGTATTAAGGAAGGAGGCAGGACTATCTTGAATTGAAACAGGTACATGGACCTGTACCATAGCACATTGGTTGAAGTTACTCTTCTTTCCCACAGGTTTGAGTTGTTTTCTTATTGAGGACAATTACAAACCAATATGGTACAGAACAATCTCACAAAAACTTTAATCTCATGGCTTCTCCACTGATGTGTTCCTAAACATGGGTTCTGACTGTGAACTCAGTGCATTTAATCAACCTATCAAAAACCTGGAAACCTAACCTATTCTACTTTAAGAACATTTTAAGAGCAGTCAAGTTCCTCTTACAAACCAGTGAGATACACCAGTTAAGTATTTCCAAATGCCAAAGAGCACTTATGTTAACACGCTTCAATGCTCCCCACACAGCAGTTTTGGAGAGTTGATAGAAAGGTCCTGTATGAACTAAGATTAGGTCCCTGTGGACAAGGGACTATTGAAACTGCAATTAATTTCTTGCTATATTGTACCCTAAATAAGAGTTCAAAGACCTACTCTATAACTTATTATCTGTAAAACACCAGGGAAATTCTCTTTTTTATGTTGCGGTTGTTATTGTTATCAGATCAGTATGATTTAGTCTCCTTGAACACAGTTAAATTTTGCTTTTCTGTCTGTAAAATTAGGCAGACTTTTCTTATCCATTGACAAATCCACTACCAACTGTAATAGTCAATGATTATAATTACAAAAAATATTTATATTCATACCCCATATATTCAGATATGCAAGTGACAGATATGTCTCCCTGTTCAATCTCCTACCCAGGAGCTATCTGTAAATGATGAGGAACTTCAAAGCCTCCCTGTTCTCTTTTATTTTCTTTAAATTTGACCTGGGAGTGCTTTAAGGCTGATAGCACCTAAATCAGTGGTGGGTTTCAAAAATGTTTACTACCAGTTCTGTGGGTGTGGCTTGGTGGGCATGGCATGGCTTGGTTGGCGTGGCTTGGTGGGTGTGGCAGGGGAGGGATACTGTAAAATCTCCATTCCCTCCCCAATTCAGGGGAAGGTTACTGCAAAATCCCCATTTCCTCCTGATCAGCTGGGATTTGGGAGGCAGAGAATAGATGGGGGCGGGGCCAGTCAGAATTTTTACTACTGGTTCTCCGAACTATTCAAAATTTCCGCTGCCGGTTCTCCAGAACTGGTCAGAACCTGCTGAAACCCACCTCTGACCTAAATGCTAGTAGTCCAAAGTCACTGTTGAAGTCTGCCTTTATCCTCAAAAAAGGAAATATGAACAAACAGTAGAAAAAGACATTTGCAAATGTAGTGGTAAAATTTCATGAATGATGCAGGATGATTATACAATAAGAAACACCTGTGATAGGACCCTTGGACTGGATAGGTTTTCAAAAAGGAGGCAGTCCACAGACATCCTTTCAGAAGGTTAGTTGTATGGGTTCTATTTTTTAAAAGGAGGAATATACCTGTAACTATATACCAATAGCACTTAGACTTATATACTGCTTCTGTGTGCTTTACAGCCTTCTCTAAGCGGTTTACAGAGTCAGCATATTGCCCCCCAACAATCCAGGTCCTCATTTTACTGACCTCAGAAGGATAGAAGGCTGAGTCAACCTTGAGCCAGTGAGACTCGAACTGCCGAACTGTTGGCAGTCAGCAGAATTAACCTGCAATACTGCATTCTAACCACCAGGGCTGTTATATAACAAGTTCCTACAGAAAAATGCATAATAATTTAAAAAAACCTAAAATAAGGATATCCATAACTATAAAGAAAGTACATTAGCTGCAACGTATTTTGAAAGTTATCAATGAAAAGTTGATAACATTTATATAAACTTAATTATCATCCATTTGTTGAGCTTAAACAAAATCAATACATTTTACAAGCCATACTAACTCCCATATTTTCCAACAGTAACTATAAATGTAATTCTGTTTTTTGCTTTCCGTTGCTGTGTTATTTGTATTTTATCTCTTCTTAGTACAATTAATATACAGTACCCTATAAATTTACACATTCTGTATTTATAAATAGCAAGAAAAATAACATCAGAATACCCCAGCAATTGACAGCTTTCCTTTGTTAATTATTGCATGACATTATTCCAAAATAAATTAAAGTTTATATATGATTAAAGTAGGAGGAAAATCTGCTTTAAATGAAGTCTCCAACAATAACATTATAATTATGGCACATTTTATTCAATATATGTAGTATTAAATAAATAGCTTTAAATACTTTTTAAAAGGTTTTAATTTAAAATATTAACTGGGGCGTTGTTCTAATTGTAAAATAAAATATGAAACCACTCAGCCTTCATGTGTCATACTTACTCCTTATATACAACATAAATACTATAGTGTAGTTACTGGTTTCAGTTGTAATTAACAGTGTGTGATTTCCCTCTTGGGTTTCTTTGATTCTTGGGAACTCCACTGAAACGATATGCCTGTTGAGACAGAAAACAAGACTTCCTTTATGAAATAATTATGAAAAAAAACTTCAGTGTGCGGAACTAGGCCAAAATGACAAACAAAAAGGAAACAAAACCTTGTACATGGACCAGAAAAACCATTTCATGAATCACCTACAGAATTAGGTTAGCCAGAATGATGGTTCTTCTCTACTTACACTTCTCTGGAAGTTCTTGAAATCTCTACAGCTTCAAATGATAGTGGCTTCTTGCTGATTCCAAGAAGAGGAAGAGATCATGCTTTTAGCTTCAATATGCAACTATAATATTTCATTTAGAAAGACTGGTAGACTGACAAAAGCAGTATAGTTCCAACTGCAGGTTAGAACTTAATAGGTCACACTTCTGTGAATTTTAGCAGATAACTTCAGGTGGTTTGTCAGAGTTTGGACACCACATTCCTTAACTCATTTCAAGTTTCTTATTTTATTAGCAGTCTATTGATAGAGCTAATAGCAATGCAGTTGCCTCCCTTCCTTTCCTTTACATTTTATCTAGCAATGGACCCAGCTTCAACCAGTGAACATATTTGACTGAGAGATAAATTTTATTCTCTCTATACCTATCTAGCAAAATCACTTTTAATACAGCAATAGGCTAAATGGCATAACTTTATAGTTAAAAGGCATTACTGGTTATTTATAACATTTATATAACATCTATCTTCTAACTGACTCTGGATGTTTTCCCAATTTATAAAAACATTTTTGATTGGGACCCATCCAGAGTTATATAAATATTGGGTGGGAATTCCCCACTTGAATTCTGGAGAAGGAAATTTGACTTCCAATTTCTTCCATTAAGCTTCTGAAACCTTCTTCCAGCCATGGAGCTTTGATGTCAGAGAAGGAAAGATGGCAATTAGAATGTTGCATTGAAAGATTAGGTGAGGATTTGGGTCCATGGGAATCCAAAGCTTTCCTGTTCTTCAATTCTGCCCAGTCTAATAAGAATTAAGGGAGAGTCAGTTGCTTGAATGGGCAATTAGGGACACCTCCCTTCTTCTTGCTCACTGATGAAGCATAGTGCTCTGCCTTCAATCTTGCTCCGTAAGAATGAATTAGGACAAGTACAGGAAATATATTATAAAAAGTTAAGTGCTGAATATTAGAACTATATATGAAAGGGAGTGATGCAAGGGATTTTTGGCAAGTAGTGTTACTTCAAAAGAGACAAGCAATCATCCAGTTATTCACATCTTTAAAAATTTGAATTACTAAGAAGGAAATTCATGTGCACATAAAATTGCAATTGTTCATTTGAGCTTTTGCTGCAGGCTCACGTGAAGTGGAACAAATATTACTTTTTGCTCTTTGTATTTTTTATGTGTTTTGTTTGTTTGCTTACCGGTTCTCCAAATCCAGAGAGGAATTACATTTGGTCCGGATCTCTTTAAAAACCCAGTGGCAGACGATGTTCTCTGAAATATTTAGTACTGCTTTTAACCTGACATTTTCAAGCACACCAACTTCTACAACCTTGGTTGTTTTGTAGGCATTTTCAGTGCTTTGATTATTCAAGGAACACTGGAGGTCTTCAACATTATCTTGCATCTGCTTTGTAAGAGATAGAAAATATATGTTTGCTCTGTTGCACCATTTAACATCTATCTTGCTTTTAGAGAAACAACATTGAAAGATAATTTGCATACAGTTCTCTGTAAAAGTTCTGAGAAGCTACTACCAATAAAGGTAGTATTTCCCTTCTATCTTTCCCAAATAAATGAGGTCCTTTCCTATCTCTCTTCGTCCTTCCCACCTCAGTCAATGAAAGAGAGAGAGAGGTTACACAATTTGATTAAGAAATGAAGATTGAGGATATCTTTTGTGGTGAATGCTCCAAGAAACCCTTGGAGAAGAAATTTTGAAGTAGGGTAATAATTTGAATATGTACAAAGTAATTTCATATGCTTAATTTATCAGAAAATGCAAACAAATCAAATTACTCCAATTCTAAACTAGATATATTTTTCCATCAAAGTTATCTCTTGCATCTTTTGAATACAATATTGCCATTGGACAACAGCCAGTCCTTAGTCTTCATGTTTTGAAAGACTGCTGTCTATCACGTTATGCCTGTTAAGTTGAACCATTCTAAGGGATTTTTTTCGTATGTTTGCTATAGTTGGTAAAAACACAGAAAATGATTATGTAAGGCACAATCTTACTATGTCTTGGAATAAGAATTATGAAACTACTATAGCTTTACTTCCTTTCAGTTTGGGGCAGTATGGAGTTGATAGATATCAAAGTGATTTAAACGATAGAATGAAAATGTTTCTGGCTTGGTTGATACATTGGTTTGACTTTAAAAACACAAAATATTCCTTCAGATACCGACATACTTTTATTATTAATTTATCAATCTAATTTTGCATGAAAGCGATCAAACCAGTCAGTCCTAGAGGAGATCAACCCTGACTGCTCTTTAGAAAGCCAGATCCTGAAGATGAAACTCAAATACTTTGGCCACCTAATGAGAAGGAAGAACTCACTGGAGAAGAACCTAATGCTGGGAAAGATTGAGGGCAAAAGAAGAAGGGGACGAGTAGAGAATAGGAAGGCCTGGAGGAACATTGTCCATGGGGTCACGATGGGTCGGACATGACTTCGCAACTAACAACAACAAAAATTTTGCATGAAAGGAAAACCTTGTTGTAATAGTAACATTCAGTCACCCAAACTACTGTCTGCCCACTACTGATAGTAAATCGAAGCAATTTAAATGAGTAAGTCAAAAGGCAAAATCAGTGTTGAAATTAGAGATGCACTATAGGTAGAGCTCAGAGCCCAAACACCCTTCAACACCCCTCTACCCTTGCAAACCTAGTAATCCTTCTCAAAGCTTCACCAAAATTTGTCACTAAATTGTAATTTATAATGTGACAGAAAAAGGATTTTTTTAAATAAATAGGGAACAGTAATCGTGTTACATGCATAGAAGTTTTCTAATTTACATTTTAATTAAAGTAAATAAAATTTTGATTTTGCTTGAATTCTATTCATCTTGGAAGCATAGCTGACAAAGTGTCAGTCAAAGCCATTTATGGTACTCACTAAGAAAAGGATTGAGCATACCAAAGTTAAATCAAATTCCTCATCGATATCTCTTAATATACAGTAGTTCCTTGCAATGCTATATCTTTGACTACATGCTATAATTACCTACTAAACCTACTACTAATATGAACAAAGAATCTACCAAGAGTGACCAAAAATACTGATTATGCAGTAGATATGAGGGATAATGATGAAGAAAATGGCAATAAGGAGAAGGGAGATATATAGAAGAGCCAAGTCAGGGCATTAGGCTAGACAGTTAGCAAAGTATGGCAGAAAGAAAGAACAAAAAACTGAAAGCGTTTAGGAAGAGGAACACCTGAAATCTGATAGAAATGTGGGGGAAAAAAGAAAAGGAAGTTATAATTTCTATTTTAGCATAGAAAAGCAAGCAAAGTATTTCGCACAAACTAAAGAATTTGAAGAGGGAGAGCCAATCTTAATATAGCATAAATTTTAAGATGTAAGATTTATGATTTCCTGAAGTACTGTGACTCAGTAGACCATGCAGTTTTATTTTCAGCAAACAAAGAGGAAAAGAACATAAATTTATGGAGGATGAAGTCAAACAGCGCTTCTGTTCTCACATATATTTATCGATATTAGACCATAGCTATGGTACCAAATGCAAAGACTCCCAAAGGTGCTTTTTCCAAAAGGCAACTGGACTTTCTTGGGTTTCCCCCCCCCTTTTTTTCTTACAGAATGTTTCATTGCTCATAAAAAAACCTAAACATTTTCTAAAAAAGAAAAGAAAAAAGTCCAGTTGCCTTTAGGAATAAAGTATCTTTGGAGTATTCTGTTGTGGTCTGTCAGGAGCCTGCGGAGCTGGCAGTGGAGTTGGACAGTGAAGAGGCTGGGGAGGAACATGGGCCAGTCCTGGAGTCTGGGGAAGGCCCAGACAAGGGCTCTGCGTCTGAGGCAGAGATGGGGTCAGGGCCATCTGGGAGTGATGCGCGGACTCCGGAGCCTCCAAAGAGGCAGAGGAACAGGAGGAGCCTGTTCCTAGTGCATGCATGCACAGACCTGCCAGAAGGCACGAACAGTTAAAACAAAAGGGATGACTCAGGAGTAAGGCCTGGAGATGATTGGCCCCTCCCATAAGGCTTAAAAGAGGAGCAAAGGCATGTGGGCCCTTTACAGGAAAGCAATGTTGTTAATTCTGTTCTCAGTCGGCATCTCTGTTTGATTCTGGAATCCGTGTGGCTTTGCCAAGTAGGTCTTTGGCAGCGTGTCAAGAGAGATAAAGGTTGGTGATTATCCTAAAGGACTTCTCCCGAAGGACTTTTTGCAACTAATTGGGACTGAGCTGTGAATGAACGTAATTCACAGCTGTTGCAATAAAAGAGGTTTTTGGGACTACTCGTGTGTTTTAATGATTCAGGAAGCCTAGGTCACAATATGTTTGGAGAGTATAAATTGGGGATATTCCTGGGAGATATGAAAAAATATATCACAAATAGAAAGTGATTTAGACAATATAGAGAGACAGTTTGGTGGTATGGTTAAGGCACCTTGTTAAAAAAACCAGTAGATGGTGAATCTTAGTCCTGAAGCCAGGTTGGGGACCTGGCTTCAGGAAACCTCTTTCAAAACTTTGCCAAGAAAGCTGCATTGTTTAAGTTGTTTAGCAGTCACTACAAGTCAACAGTGACTTGAAGGTAAGCACGTTCATACAAAAACCTCACTTCAAAATTTTAAGCACAGGCATGGAAGTCAGGAAGCAAAAGGAGGCAATGAGTATTAACAGTGGAATATCACATGTTTGAAAAAGGGAAGATGAAGATTGCTCAGAAGACCACAAGAGAGTGTGGAAACAGAACAGCTGTCAGTGAAGAAAAGATGAAAGAATGTTAGTTTTACCATTAAGATGAACTATTTTTGTGACTTGTTTCAATTGTTGAAAAAATAATTGAATGCATAGCTTATGATGGGACTTCATAAACGATGCTTATATTTCAGGGGTCAGCACTCCAGACAGCTGCCTAATTATAAAACCAATTCAGGCTCAGAGAATTAAAGACCTGGAGGAGAATAAAATCCCTTATTATAAAGATAAAATAAAACCTCGACATCCAGTTTTATAATACTTTGACAGGTAGTAGCAACATCCATCATCGCTTGAGCTCCATTCACAGAAAAAGAGCAGTGAAAAGCAATGGGTAAGGAAAAATGCAGAACCATTATTTATAAATTAGCAAAGAAATAAGTCTTTTGAAAGAGATGAGGTGAGGACTAGCAGATCTCAAGCCATAGATGGTAATTAGGTAAATGTACAACTCTTCTGGCTTCAAAGCCACCAATCATCCCACCAAGTATCAATTCACTTGGAAGGGAAGGGAATTGTTAAAATCTTGAGTGTGTACATATTTCTAAAAATTTTGCATTAGCAATGGGCAATCAACTATTGTGTATGACTTCATTCTTGTCTGTAGTAAAAATTCAAATCTAATTGAGCCCTGCCCATAAGTTTTTAGCCAAACTGCAGAGTAGGTTGTGAAAGGTCAGGAAGCCTAGGATTTACTCCCAAACCCAGGTTGTGAAGCCTGACAATCTGAATATTTGTTCATTACACCAATTACCGTGAGAGGAGAGAATCAAGAGTTAGCACGGTGGCAATTGCCTCTCTCATTAATCGTTTGTCTCGGCATCTTCTGTGTCAGAGCCATGGGCCAGCCAGAAAGGCCAACAGGTGGAACAGAATCTACTGGTGGCAAATGACCTTTGTATGGAGTTGGTATTTGTGAAATTGCTTTGGTGGGTTTGGAAGCCAGAAGGCACAGAGAAAAGCTGGTGGCAGAAGAAGACATCACCCAAGACAGCATTTTAAAACAGCATTTATCTACCCAAGCTTCAAGAAGGTAGAGCCCACAAAGAAATTCGGATTACAGAGTAGACCTTGACTTACAACTATTTGTTTTAGTGACTGCTTGAAGTTACAATGGCATTAAAAAAGTGACTTACTGCCTACTTATGACCATTATAGCATTCCCACGGTCACAGGATCAAAAGTCAGGTGCTTGGCAACTGGTATGTATTTATGACACCATCATAATATGACCCAGTTGCACTGTCCTGGGGTCATGTGTTCACCATTTGTAATCTTCCCAGCAGGCTTCTGACAAGCAAAGTCAATCAGAGAGGCCAGATTCACTTAACAGCTGCGGTGATTTGCTTAGCAACTGTGGCAAAAAGGTTGTAAAATGGTGCAAAACCTATTTAACAACTGCCTTACTTAGCAATGGAAATTTTGGGCTCAGTTGTAAGTTGAGGATTGTATTTCATCTGGAAAGGTGCAGGAATAGGCAATGAAAATATTGAAGGACTGGATGATCTTCACAACGAAGAAAAATTGAAAGTTGAGACTCTTTGGCTTACTGAATAATTGACTGAGTGGGTGAGGAAGATATGTACTCTATGGAGAAAGTAGAGAGGAAGAAGACATATCCTTTGCTCATAATGCTAGAACCCAGGATAAGTGAAACTGGATGGTGGTAAGTCCAACATACATGAAAGCAGGAAGCAATGTCTGTAATTAATGAATGGAAATCATATAAGATTTCAATTCATTAATTATAGATATTCCTTGCAATGCCCACCAGATAGCTTTAAATGGAGCTTAAACTTGTTTCACACTGTAAAAAATAGTAGAGAATGTTATATTATATTCCATAACACTCTGTCTTCAGTATGATGTGATAGACTTTGGTCCATTCAATATTTTTATACTCTAATTTTCCCTTACCTTGAGAGAAGGTGAAGAATCCCAATTTCTTGAAGCATTGTTGTGTTGTTTGATTAAAAAGCAAGTTATCTCAAATGTAGTTTGGCTTATCACAACAGTGGATGTCACTGTAAGAATCAGAGCTGCCAAAAAGGAAAACAAAAAAATGTACAATGAAATCAAAACGTAAACATGCTGAATATATTGTGGTGTTTTTTTCATCCCACTATCCTTTTTCCCCATTCATTTGTACCTCTCAACTAGTACGCTTCTCATTAATAAAATAGATAGAACATAAAACAGCATAATAGGATTGGAAGAGACTTTGGAGGTCTTTTACTCAAACCCCTTACTCAAGCAGGAGACCCTATACCATGCTGGACAAGTGGCTGTCTGGTCTCTTCTTGAAAATCTCCAATGATGACAAGCCACAACTTCAGGAGGTAAGCCATTCCACTGATTAATTGTTCTCAATGTCAGGAAATTTATCCTAAGTTCTAGGTTGGATCTGTCTTTAATTATTTTCCACCCAATACTTCTTGTCCTGTCCTTAGGTACTTTGGAGAATAGGTCAACTCCCTCTTCTCTGTGATAACCCCTCAAGTACTAGGAGACTGCTATCATATCATCCCTCTTTTTGGTAAATTAGGCATACCTAAGTCCCTCAATTTTTCATCATATGGTTCAGCTTCCTTATCTTTTTGTTCTTCTCTACACTCAGTCTAGGGCAGTGGTTCTCAACCTTCCTAATGCCATGACCCTTTAATACAGTTCCTCATGTTGTGGTGACCCCCAACCATAAAATTATTCCTAAAACCATTGAAAATATGTGTTTTCCGATGGTCTTAGGCGACCCTTGTGAAAGGATCGTTCGACCCCCAAAGGGGTCACGACCCACAGGTTGAGAACCACTGCTAGGGTCTCAATATCTTTTTTGCATTGTGGTGACCAGAACAGAGTGTTCAAGTCTGTCAAGATGCTTCTGAATTTTGAGTCTATCTTCTAAATGTTAGCTATTCCCCCCAGCTTGGTGCCATCTGAAAATCTGATAAGTTCCGCTTCTATCCCCTCATTTAGATCATTTTTGAAGATGCTGAAGATTACTCAGCCAATATCTATATATCACTACCATTCTATCTCTCTAATGTTACTCACTTAATTATAGATGCCACGAATGTCAATCCTATTTTGTGTATTGGCCACTGACTGGAGTGGAATTTAACATTTTGGAAATGTCTCCTTGGCTGGCAGAAAGCCAGAATCAATGGAAAACTTGACCATTTCATAAGATAGAATATGTATATAATATGGTGTTTCAGCCTGGATGAATAAAATATAAGTGTCAATGTTGAAGCAGTAGATTTGATAAAAGATAAGTCAGCCTTCATTGTGAATACAGAACACAGTAATTAAACTAAGAGTAATAAAAGTCATTACAAACACAAAGCACAATGAATAAGGGAACAATTCAATTTTAAACATTCAAGTCTCTTTTCCAGCCAGTATTTTATTAATCTTTATGGTCAAAATTAAAATGAGATGCAGAGGAATATAAAAGTATTGGGAAGTTAGTTTTTCAGCTGAAAGTAATTGCAAATATTCTTAATGAAATATAGCACCAAAACTGGAAGCCAAATTTTGGCAACTAATCAAGGAGACAACCAACCTAGAACTAAGGAGAAATTTCCTGACAATTAGAACAATTAATCAGTGGAACAACTTGCCTCCAAAAGTTGTAGATGCTGCAACACTGGAGGTTTTTTAGGAAGAGATTCTACAACCATTTGTCTGAATTGGTACAGGGTTTCCTGCTTGAGCAAGAGATTGGACTAGAAGACCTCTAAGGTCCCTTCCAATTCAGTTATTCTGTAATTCTGTTTTTGTCTCAGAAATGGAATAAAAATTGAATGACAAATAGGAATGGAAAACAGCTAATGTGATTTATCAAAAAAAAAACCACAAAATGATGATACATTCCTGCACTAGTCTCTATTTCCAGTATGCAAGACTGCAGCTGTGGTTGCCAATATTAGACTAGGTTGAGAAGAGATATAAATAAAAATAGTCCCCAAAGGATTATCTAGCATAGGACTGAAATCAGACAATACTTTAAAAAACAGGGAATGCATTTGTTTAACATGGCATAGAACAGTCTTTCAGTTAGAAGTTGTATGGGATAAAAGAGAGACTGACAAATGTAAAAAAAAAAATTAAATCAATTTAGCAGCTATTTATTTGAGTTCTGTTGCTGGATAAACATTTAGTTCAAATTTGGGATTAATAGTGTTTATGTTTCAGAGATGGGGCTGTCAGCTATTTTTGTGTGTGTTATTATGGAAGGTTAAATGAGATTTCACCAACATCATTCACCCCTGATTAATGCATTCATTCTGATAATTGAGGCTTACTCTGAATTACAAATCTATGTCTGAAGAATCTGGGTTAAGTTTTGGATTGGAGACTTGGAGAATTTATGCATAATTTTTGTGACTTGTTCATTGGGTCTTAATGATTTTATTCATTTTGGATTTGGAGGTATTTTTTCATAGGCTTAACACAGCTATAATTTTGTCACTAGGAACAATGTACGGTAACTTTGGCCACTAATGTACTGTATGCAGGTTGACTTAGAAGGTAATACTTTTTGTACAGTAGGAACTTAAGATAGGCGGACTTCATACAGATAAACAATTGAGAAATACTACTTCTTTTAAAAAGAAGTGTTAATTGGTGGACCTTTCTCATATTAACTGTATTAGCTCAAGTTCATTTTAGGAAATTTTAGGATAATTAAAACTGCAGAAAAAAACAATTACTACCAACCTGCCTTCCATTGAGGACCTGTATAGTACACGAGTCAAAAAGAGGGCTATGAAAATATTTACAGACCCCTTGCATCCTGGACATAAACTGTTTCAACTCCTACCCTCAAAACGACGCTATAGAGCACTGCACACCAGAACAACTAGACACAAGAACAGTTTTTTCCCAAACGCCATCACTCTGCTAAACAAATAATTCCCTCAACACTGTCAAACTAGTTATTAAGTCTGCATTACTATTAATCTTCTCATCATTCCTATCACCCAACTCCTAACCACTTATGACTGTATGACTGTAACCTTGTTGCTGGTATCCTTAAGATTTATATTGACTGTTTCCTAATATGAATTGATTGCTTATTTGTTCCCTATGACTATCATTAAGTGTTATACACTATGATTCTTTTGCAATTTGCACCAAGACAAATTCCTTGTGTGTCCAATCACACTTGGCCAATAAAGAATTCTGTTCTGTTCTGTTCTGTTCTGTTCTGTTCTGTTCTGTTCTATTCTATTCTATAAAACTTACTAAGAAAAACAATGCTCAGAGTAGCTCAATAACTAAACCAATCACTAAACATGGAGAATACACAGCAATAGCAAAAAATTAGTGCACATTCAGAACAACAGAAGCTGAACAAATTCAAATAAAAATAACTCTCATAAATATTGTACAGTATATTACACAGCAACGCAAACTTAAAATATTTAAATACAATGTCTAAGGAAAAAATAGATAAAAGGACCAGACAAGAAATTAGAAACCTAATGCTTACAAATATATTGATTGTAATTTACGGTATATTTGAGGCACAATGGGAAGAAAGGATATACTTGAAAAGTGGTTTCTTAATAATGTTTTTATTGATTCTTATTCTTTTTCCCCTTTTCTTTTTGTTTATTAATAGTAATTTAAAAATGGTTTATTGCACTTTATGATTTTATGTTTTACATTTTTGTTGTTTTTGACAACTATATTTTGCATCGAATTTAATTGTGTTTTTTAGGATTTTAAATGATATAGTATAATCATATATTGGAATATTAGAAAATTGTAAAACACATTTGTTTATGTATCTGAGTTTATTCTTTCCCTCCCCTTTTTCTTTTCCTTCTGTTTATCTACTATATATACCTATATCTATCAATATATATTGGGAAGTGATAGGTTATCCTTTGTACATTCAAAGAGAAGTTAAGAACTGGCTTGCCACTTATGGATTATTACACTAAGCAAAGGCTGTTGGTACCAAGTGAATATTGGTTTATCTAAAAAAAAAAAAAGCTAAGCAATGCTTGACAGTTAATACTCGAATGAGACACCACCTTGAAATTCCAGATTGTAAACTAAACCGACAAGTAAAAAAACAAAAAGAAAAAAGAAGGAAAAAATCCTGGAAGAAAGCAATAAACAACTGCTTCTATACAGTACTTCATGCTTCTATTCCTAGTACTGTACTTTTATGCTATTGACCAAAAAATAATCCAGCTTTGGATCTATTCATGTAATTATTGGGAGTCCAGTTAAACCTGACAGAGTCTTTCCCTTTATAAGTTAGGCAAAGGACTGAGCTCAATAATGAAATTAAGAACTTTATGATGATAAGACTCACAATGAGCTTTAACCATGAAACAATTAGGATTATAACATTATAGCAGAGATCAACATTGCACTAATTTGATTCATCTTGGCTTTGCACACTCAGCCATTGTGGTTTATAAACCATCAACTGTACCTCGTTATAATGTATGAACCCAATAAACTTCAGCTTATTTCATGAATCATGGTTAAGCAAATCATATCTTAGAATGATTATGGGGCATCTGCATATAATTCTAAGACTGGCTAATCAAGACACAAACAACTCATTAATCATGTGCTTTTCTGGCACTCTGATAGGTTTGCCAGTGTATTTGCTGTATCATTTAGTATAATATGCAGGATGGAATGTAAAAAGTAGACCAGTAATAAAGCATAGATTCAAAAAGCTGTTCATTTTATACATTACACTAAGCCCAAATAAGTACCTTGGCTTTTTATAATGGATGAATCCAACTTTTACTGAGAACAGAACAGAAATTAAAGCACAACAAATACTTGTGAAACTGAAGAGCTAGATATGAAACTGTATAAACACAACCAAGAATAAAGGAAATTGCACAATTTATAGCATTTTAATTCTCGAACATATTTTACATTTAGTTTAAAATAAGCTGCCAAAATCAACACGGGGAGAAAAATAACTTAAATTACAAGACAAATAAGTAAAATAGTGAGCTTGAATATTTGAATTTACAATACATATAAAAAAGAGCAACTACAAAAAGAGCTGAATTTTATTTTACAATATATTGTAGTAGGAAATGCTGCTCCTGCTGCAGTTTTCCCCAACATTTTGATTGGACTTTTGGGTTATCAAACAGAAAAACAGATTTTATTTCAATAAGATTTATTTCAGACTAGACAGATCAAAGTTCAGTGGGGATTCTAAGCATGCTTGCAGGTGAATATATCCCATTGAACTCCATGGACCAGATGTACTCACGGTTGTGTTGTATGAGAAATCATAAATCAAACCTTGACAATTTTAGAATTCAGCATATAAGAGCTGATGGGAATATGCTGTTGTATTATTGTAGAATGGCTGAACCATGCGAATTAAGAACCAAAGGTTCTTAACCAAAGACATAATCATGTGGATCAGCAAATAATGGCATAAAAGAGAATATATTAAGAATGAGCTCTTATAAATCATGTCACTTATTCTGTTATTACCAAGAACACCATTTCAGCCCTAGAGGCAAATACATTTATCTAAATCTTGAAAAACACAATTATACTATTTTCTTGCTAACAAGATTAAAAGATATAAACAAGCAAAATTAAGTTCCTGATATTACCAAACTAGTTCCTTGTAAGAAAGATAAAAAAGAGCTTAATTATGCTGTGGATTCATTTTAGAGCTTACTGTACTCATGGTTTTCTTTTAAGTATAGATATGAATAATAGTAAACATATTAGGCAAGATACACAGAAACTGAAATATAAGCTTTGTCCTTTGTTCAATTGTATAAAAAGGTAAGATAAAAAAGTATTAAAAATATGGTTTCACAGTTTTATGAATACAATTTCACCATATAACCTATTCGGTGAATTGGTAGCCAAAGTTTTAGTAATAGCTAAGCAAAATATATATCCATCAACACAATAACCATCCTTTTAATAAAGATCCACGTTCATTACTTTATCAAGATATATTGATTGTAATTTGGCTAACATCTACCCTATTCTAAGAAAAGGTTTCATTTACATTTGGCTCTCTGACCTTTGCAGTAGTTTTCAAATCTCTCAGATCAGAAAAAAACTGATCTAAAAAACCTTTCTCCTTGCTTATTTTAAATCCATTAACAATTGTTACCCATCCTCCAGACACTTCTGAACCTTCATACAAGCAGCCTGTTCTGTTAGGAAGGAGAAACAGGAAAAGGGCAAAAAAAGAACACCAAAACCAAAGATGCATGGGACAAAATCAAACAGAAATGAAGAGAAATGAGGCATGAAAAAAAAAAAATCAGAGGAGACACTAAATAGAGAAAAAGGTGTAGGACAAAACTATAGGAAGAGGAGGAAAATTTGGATCAGCAAGGCAAGAAGAGCTATGAATGCAGATGTCAGTGGGTACACTTACCAAGCATCTGCAGCTGACTTTTAGTTACTAAAATACTGAAGTGTTGCCGTCTCATTGCAGCTGTTGGTGCAAGAGTTCCGTGCTTGAGTGAAATGTTATTTCAAGAGCTCACACTCTGTATGTGCAGGTGGTTCTCTCGGGAATCCATCACAACCACTCAGCCTCTCGACTGTAAACCACTTCTTCTTTTTGAGGAGGAGTTGTGGGGCTGTTCCTGCAACAAAACAATAATAATAATAATAATGATAACAGCAGATCAAACAAAACCCCTACAACAGTTGATGTTAACCTCCAGCAAAGTGAACAATATCTTTCTATAGTATTCAATATATTCTTTTCCTATCATTTTTGTGAGGATGAAAAGTTTTGATTCCCACAGAAAATTCTTTAAAGCTGCTTGGTGTTTTTATTTTTTCAGTACCCTCCCCTTTTATTTCAATAAATATTCACTGTTTAAGAATTAACCATACAGGCATAGTTCTTTTTAGAAACAAGTTTGTTGTGCTAAATCCATACTCCAGTAGAGGGCTCTCAGACATTAGAATCATCAGGTTTACTGAGCTGCATTTTAGAAACCTAATCAAATAGTGAGGGTTTTTTTCCCCTTCAAACACCAATCACCAATCACTAAAAGAAGGAAATAGTAATTGCAAACAAAACATATGTTATTAGTTCAACATTAGATTCAATGATGCTAGGAAGGGAAACAGAGCATTCAAAATTCTTAGGATATACCAGAAAAAAATAGATTCAAAGTTACTAATTTTTAAGTAAGTAATTTGAAAGGTTGTGATTCTTTTTAAAAGCCAGTTTGGGATGTCTTGCATGTCAACATGTATCACACCATAAAATATCATCTTCCAGGTTTGAGAACTTTCTGTCCCAGAAACCCTTTATGGCCTTCCCAAACCCTCAGAAAGCTAGGAAAGATAATGATTAAATTCACTTATTGCACTAAGGCAACAATGTGGTTTGTTTGGTCTGAGGTTGGAATGATATATGATTCCAGCCATTTCTAGCTTATTCTATAAATCATGCACCTTCCTAGAACTATCAATGATTTTCAAAGTACCTATGCTCTCTGTGTGTCTGTGCATGTACATGTGTAATAGGGCGTAAGTGTGTGTGACATATTGGGGATATATGGATGTTCTAACCTTCTAGAAATTAATTAATTAATTTCGCCTTTCAACTTCTTCAAAGTCTCACCCATTAACTCTTGTTTTTCTGTTGTGGAATTTTTTAAAAATGCAACCATGGCAATGTCCTGATCTTACAGGATGTTGAACCAGGCAACAATAATCTGAAACTCTTCAAGTTGTTTCTGGAACTATAATTCTTGGTACCATCACCCAGCTTGCTGACTAAAAATCTTGACTAGTCGCACACACATCTGGAAGTCTTCAATTGAATAAAGGATATATAAGCATCGGGGTGGATTCTAAAAATTTTTACTACCGGTTTTGTGGGCATGGCTTATTTTGTGGGCATGGTTTGATGGTCATGTGGCAATTCTTTAGGATTTAGCAGAGGTACTGGTCTACCAGGCTTTTAACTGCTTGCAGAGCTGTACCAGTCTACTCATTTGTTTTTGGAGGCATCGGTCTACTCATTTGTTTTTGGAAGCACCGGTCTACCCATTTGTTCTTGGAGCACCGGTCTACCACCACACTGCCTTTTAACACTGATCAGCTGTAGGGTGGCCCTTTGAAGCCCCGTGACAAGAGTTTAAACAGTTTTTTTCCTTCTAGCCGATCAGCTGGGACTTGGGAGGCAGTGAATAGATTGGGGGCGGGGCCAAATAAAAGGTAAGAATAATGCGGGAGGGCCCAGCTCCCAAACAAAGAGAACTGGTTCAGTGATGTCATATCATCACCGCTACCGGCTCGGGCGAACCAGGAGGAACCCACCACTGATAAGCATATCTATGCTGTTCTCTGATGATTATTATTTGAATATCTGTTTTCTCATGAAACAGTTTTAATTATTATAGACAATTGTTTTGAGTTAGTTATTTCAAAGTGCACCTGTACATTTTTTCACATTGAGCTTTCTCTTTAGTAAGTAATGGGGAAGAAGAATTTTAGGGCCAAATCTGCACAAAAATATTTATATAAATTTATATAAATAAATATTTTTTTTCTGCACTTCACAGTATGACACGGCACGGTATGACCAAGGCTGACACCCATGGGATTCCTAATATCAGGAATCATTGCAGAAACAGTGAACTAGAACACTGCATTTCAGAACTACACACCTAAATTTTGGTGCCGCTACCTGGATGTCACATTTGTCAACATCAAGAGAAATGCACAGAAAGAATTTCATACCATACTGAACTCCATCTTCCAAGACATACAATTACTATTTTTAGGTGTACTTGTCAACAGAGAAAAAGATGGATGCCTAAAGGTAAAGGTTCCCCTCGCACATATCGTTCCCGACTCTAGGGGGCGGTGCTCATCTCCGTTTCAAAGCCAAAGAGCCAGCACTGTCCGAAGATATCTCCGTGGTCATGAGGCCGGCATGACTAAATGCTAAAGGTGTACGGAATGCTGTTACTTTCCCACCAAAGTATTTTTCTACTTGCATTTTTTATGTGCTTTCGAACTGCTAGGTTGGCAGAAGCTGGAACAAGTAACGGGAACTCACCCCATTATGCAGCACTAGGGATTCGAATCACTGAACTGCCGACCTTTCGATCAACAAGCAGTTTATCGCCACACCAACTTGCCACACATTCTGAATTTCAATAGCAACCACCCACTGTCACACAAAAAAAAGTTGTATCAGAACACTATATGGTAGTACCCAGCAAACCAAACAGCTGGAGAGCAGCTACCTATGTGAACAATTCAGGCCGAATGGGTACCTGCAACCATTTGTCACAAGATGCCTGTGCAACATGGTGGGGAGAGAAAGGAAGAAACAAGGTACAAGACCAATCACATAATATACCCTGCCATACATTTTAAAAAAAAAAACATTTTGGAAGCTGTAGAACGCAGCTTCTGAGATCTGCAAGAGGGCATTGCACAACTCCCAGAGGCTACCATACGAGGACAAATTATGCATTGTAAAGATTCCTTGGAGGTGAGAGACACTTCCAATTTAATCTATCGGATTCCCTGCATGAATTGCCCCTGTGACTATGTAGGATAGACGGGGAGGATGCTGACCACCAGTTTGCAAGAACACAAACAAGGTCATACGAGGAGACCCGAACTCATTGGTAACCTCGCATTGCAATGAACAAGGACATACATTTAATTTCACACTTACTAAGATTGTTGGACAAGCAGGCAGAAAAACAGCCAGGGAAGTGATTAAGCCTGGGAAATGGGCCCTTTGTCAGTCAATAAGAGTGCTTATTTGTTGATTTACCCCCACCTTATTAAATATTTAGGAGGTGAGGGCTTGGCAGCAAAAGCAAGCAACAAACAACAGCCAACAATTTAATAACCAGCCATCAACACCCCAATCAACATCTAAAAAGTCAAATACAACAGGTACCCAGGGGTGGACTGCTGGGAGTTTCCAGGTTCTCTGAATGGCTGTCTTCTCCCAGTTACATACACCTGCCCCACCAGAGGGGAAGGCAGTGAATGTTGTGGATCTCCTCTCCCAAGGAGATATATCTGGTAGGACCCAGAAGGTAGGCCTTCTCCGAGGTGGCTCCCTCCCTTTGGAACATCATCCCTGCGAAGATTAGATTGGCCCCTACTTTGACACACTTTCACGATGCCCTAAAGACCTGGTTTTGTCAATGGGCCTGGGGAACTGAGTTGGATGGAGTCCATCAAGTGACTTATCTGATTGATTGCTATTGTCAGAGAGTAGGTGGTGATTGTTTTACTGGTTGAATATTGTATTTTATTTTTGTAAGTTCCCAAGGTCACTGAGAGTGAGTGTGCGGTCACAAAAATTCTCATAAACAAATTAACAAATAAATAATTTTATTGTTTTGCTCAAACTTAAATTGATTTTCTAAGCCTACCCAATCTGGACATCTGATGTATTCATTTAGGTTCAGTCAGGTTGCAAACAATAAATAGAAAAAAAAAAATGCTTCTTCCTGGGACAATATTGCTTTTCTGTTGATTTCATAGCTATAACATTTGTAACAGCAACAGATCAATGAAAAATGACAGTTGAAACATTAAGAATTGTATTTCAGTAATTTTCTTTTCTTTTATTCAGTACTTTGGAACTTGAGGATGACAAACATTAATGTAATTAAAGAACTTTCCTGCATATTTGGTTACTTTGTGGTTTATTAGGAGATACTTTATTTTTGAATTGGTTTTATCATTATTGATTTTATATTCTTCTTTCCAAAGGGTTTGTTTCATGTTTCTGAACTGACTAAAATAATGGTAATTATTAATTATGTGTATAATTGATTTCTTGGTTCTCCTTAATTATATTTAAATGAATCTATTTGATGGACTGCTATTAATATATTACTTCATGAATATATTTAGTATATTGAGATGTAACATTTAGAAAGGCAGTACTGTATACATGTGCTAACTTTATTCCTTTCATCCATTATACAAAAATCAGGTACATAACCCAGTGTTTTACAAAAAGATGGCCAGCCGGGCTGTCCTGATTTTATGGTTGGTTTTAAAATTTGATATGGATTTTAATTGAAATGTTTTAAATGTTTTAAATTACGGGCCAAATTTATTTAATTATTTTAAATCTATTTTAACTTTTGTGTATAAATGTTTTTTATCTTGGCTGTTCACTGCCCTGAAAGGAGAAGGGCGGTATAGAAATCTGAAAAATAAATAAATAAATAAATAAAATGTATTATCTTTTTGAGAATCCCCTGAGGAGCTATCAGCCTACCTTGGGCAAGTACCCTGTTTCCCCCAAAATAAGACATCCCCCGATAATAAGCCCAATCGGGCTTTTGAGTGCATGGCAATAAGGCCAAGCACTTATTTCAGGGTTCAAAAAAATATAAGACAGTGTCTTATTTTTGAGGGAAACACAGTATTTATAATTAAATCCACATATACCAGCCTGAAAAAGGGTATCCCAAGAAAGAATGGGGGGGGGGGCAGGGGGAAGGATACTCAGCTTTTTCTTGTCATTTCTTTATTTGAAAGGAGTATTTTCAAATTAATCTTTTTTACCCAGGCTTTCAAAATTATATTTATGCCTTCCGTATTTTTAAAACTTTTTTTATAATTTAACTGATCCCTGCTGTAAGAACTGTGACTTGAAAATCCATATTTGTGCGTGTGTGTGTGTGTGGGGGGGGAAGTTCTCAAGCAAAAGCAATATTCCAGACTAACTATAGGAGTAAAGTTTTTTTTTATAGTACTTTTAGGTAGTATTCATTTAATTTTGAGCAGCATGGCATTGCGAGGTAACTTATGTGCAACCAAGCCTTACTGTTCGCCATCAGATTTATTTCCATATAAAACCGAAGTGGATTGCACTGTAACAGAAACGACGGCCACGGTTTATGTGAATGTGAATGTCTGTCTGTCTGTCTGTCCACGATACAAACATTCCAGGCATGCATATTCTAATATACTCTACGGTGCGGGAGGATTTATATACACAGGAAAACGTTTAGGAAAGCCGCTCCGCTTCTTTCCCGCCTGCGAAAGGCAAAAAAAAAAAGTAGACGGAGTTTGCCGCAACCAAACGCAGCCCGCTCCCTGGCTGCCCGCCGCCGCCCCACCCGCCAGAGCTGGGCCAGGCCTCCATCAGCCCCTTCGCTTCCTCCGGGCCTGGATTACCCAGAGGGCCTCACTGTGGCGCAGGCGCATTGAGGAGACAGCTCAGGAAGAGGAAAATGGAATAAACAATCCCGCCGTTGCCGCTGCCTCCGGGACCCTTCAGCGCCTGACGGAAGGCCCCGATTCCCCCCCTCTTCCTCACGGCTCTCTATTAGCCTCTTCTCCCCCGCCGGGCTCGCTTGACCCCTTTAAGAGAAGCACAAGCGCCCTCCCCCTTTCCTCCCTTGTCCTCCCTCGTTCCCGGAACTCCGGCAGTGACAGCGGCGGCCGTGGGACGGCTGCTGCGCCCGCTCCCCGCCTGCCTCCCATGGTGCGGCGGTGGCCGGCAGCGGCCGTGCCTTCTGAGGCGGCCTCGCTGCTGCTGCTGCTGCTGTAGCAGCCGTCGCCGCCATGAACAGTGGCGGCCTCCCCTGCTCTTCTCCGGTGGCTCCCGCCGCGGCGGTAGTAGGGCCGCCCCCCCGGGCCGGGAGTTCCGGCGGCGGTGGCGGCGGTCCCCGGCGGGCTGAAGCTCAAGTTCTGCCGCTACTACGCCAAGGACAAGACGTGCTTTTACGGCGAGGAATGCCAGTTTCTACACGAGGAGCCCGGCGGAGCTTCCGCCGCCTGTCCCGGCCCTCCGCCGCCGGTCGCCCTCGGTGGGCTTCCGCTTGGGCTCCCTCCTGGCCCCGCTGCTCCTTCCGTCGCCGTGGCCGCCTCGCCGGGGCACGGCGGTAGCGCTGGCTATCCGGGACACGGGGTAGCGGCGCCTGGAGCGGGGCCTAAGAAACCCCCCGAGCTGCTGGGAGGAGGCGGAGGAGCAGGCGGCGGCGGCGGGCTGGACGGACCCCGGCTGGCCAGTGAGTGTGGGTCGAGGGAAAGCCGCCGGTAGGCGACTGGGGTGGGTGAGGTGGGCGTCGGGGAAGAGAAACGGGGCTTGGGTGATATGGGCCTCCGGTCTCGGGCCTGGGCTGCGCGGCTTCCTTCCAGAGGAAGCGGAGATGTTAAGAAGCGTCTCTCGGAGATGATGGCTCCGGAAGAGGGTGGGCGGCGGTGGTTTGATAGGGCTGTTTCCTTTGGGGGGTTTTGAAGGGGGGATTGAACCCTGCGGAGCTGAAAGTAAAACGTTTGAACGGAGTAAGGGAAAAAGCTGCTAGTATTGGCCCCCTTCTCCTCCTTCCCTGTGGGAAATTCTGATTGGGAGGTGAACGTGCGGCAGCCTGTCAAGAAATAGTAAAAAAAAAGGGGTGTGGTGGAGGTTGTGTGCATGTAGGTATACCCTGGTCATTGCCTTTTTTTATTTGGAATAGAATAGAATTTTTTATTGGCCAAGTGTGATTGGGCACACAAGGAATTTTGTCTTAGGTGCATATGCTGTCGGTGTACATAAGGAGAATAAAATACATTCACCAAGAATAAAAAGATAACAACACTTAGTGATAGTCAAGGTTACTAACAAGCTATCAAATTGTACTAGGAAACAAATAAAAACAATATAAATGGAAAAGATACAAGCAACATGGTTATAGTAATAAGGGGGAAGAGATAGATACTAGTAAGGAAGAGAAGAATAATAGTAATACAGTCTTAGTAAATTATTTGACTGTTGTGGGAATTAGTTGTTAAGCAGAGTAATGGCATGGGGGGGGGAAACTGTCCTTGTGTCTAGTTGTTTTGGTGTGCAGTGCTCTCTCTAGCGTCTTTTTGAGGGTAGAAGTTGAAACAATTTATGTCCAGGATGTGAGGGGTCTGTAGATATTTTCACATAAATATTTAGTTAATTTATATAGCTAGAAAGGCGATATGGGGGCTAAGGATGCTCATGCTGTGTGGCATGAATGGAGATTTAAAAGTACAGCCCAAAGCCATGTGTAATCTGTACCCCCTTATCTTTTACTAACTCCACCCTGTAGGTTTTGCCATTTTTCCCCCTTCAAGGGTCTATGTCTAGTCATAGTAACAGTACTAAAACATTGCTTGAGGGAAGCCTAAATTGATTTGGTTTGTCTCTCTTTTTCTCCCCCCCCCCTTAGAAAATTGTAGAATCTTCTGATTATTTCAGATGAAAAATATGTTAGAGCTAAATTGTCAGCAGTGTGTGTGTGGGGGGGGGGGGGAATCAACAGCATTTGTTGGATATCTTTTGAAGTGTAGCTTTTGACAACTTGTAGGGACTTTCCTGTAGATTATTTTTCTTTACTCCTTACAACTTCTAATCAAGTTCTAACTTTTATTTGTTAAATGCTTTGATCTAGAGCAGCTTCCCACCGTAAAAGGAAGAAGGGAGTTTATTATATGTATACTACAAAGCTGCTTTTTTGAACTTCCAGATAGGTTGGTTGTTAAAACAAGAGAGTTTTAATATAAATTAAAGAGCTGAGGTGACGCAGTGGTTAGGGTGCAGTACTGCAGCTACTTCAGCTGACTGCTAGTTCAGCAGATCAGCGGATCAAATCTCACCAGCTCAAGGTTGACTCAGCCTTCCATCCTTCCGAGGTGGGTAAAATGAGGACCCAGATTATTGGGGGCAATATGCTATTTAGTATACTGTCTTTGGTGTAAGCCGCCCAGAGTCCTTGGAGAGTGGGTGGCATAGAAATATGAATAATAAAATAAATAAAAATAAAACAAATAAAAATAAATTTCCCTGTGTGTATTGTGCACAGAAGAAAATACTGGTATAAATCCTCTAATTTTTTGGTCAAAATTTTCTTAAAATAAACTTAAAAAGACAATATGTGAAAATAATTGTAGCTATCAAATAATCAGAAAAGGATAGATGTGTTAATCTAATAAAATTACAATTTCTGGAATATCTCAATTTGTGGAGTTCTTGGTGCTCTCTGGGCTTGGTTTCTTGCAGACATTTTATTACTTGACTAGGTAACATCAACAGGCCTAGTAAGTGCGGTTTCCTCCCTGCTTATATTTAGTAGCTTGTTCTGCCAGCATTGGTTGGAGTGGTTTTCCTTAATTAGGTTTGCCTGCTTGATTGTTTGTCTGTTTGATTGTTCACTTGCTAGCAGAAAACAATACTCTAATAAAAGAACAGGGCACAATGGCTCAGCAATGAAAGATGCTGAGCTTATCAGTTGGAAACCTGACAGCCGGGGTTTGAGACCTGAGCACTGCGCAATGGGATGAACTCCCATTCTTGCCTCAGCTCCTGCCCACTTAGCAGTTTGAAAGCATGCAAATGTGAGTAGATAAACAGGTACCATTTCAGTGGGAAGGTAACCACATTGCCTCAGCATATAGGTCATATTGACCACATGACCACGGAAATGTTTTGGACAGTGCTGGCTCCCTTAGCTAAGAAATGGAGATAAGCACCTCCCCTAGAATCTGAAACAACTAGAAAAGGGAAATTTTTACCTTTACCTTTAATAAAGGAACAACCAAGGAGAAAACCCACACTAACACTATTGATGTTACTTAGTTGGGTAATGAAAAGACTGCAAGCAGGCAACCAAGCAACCAAGAGAGCATCAAAGATGCCATAATTCAATCCAGGCCTACATGTATTCTCTTCTACTGATTCTTCAGTTTAAAAGACCTATTAAAAAATAGAATTATTGTAGTAAATAGTTAATAGTTAATAACGTTAGACTAGGACATCTTTTAAATCAGGGGTGTCAAACTGGTGGCCCACGGGCTGGATGCGTCAGGCACAGGCCACACCCACCCCAGCTCTGTGAAGGGGAAAAACATCGCGAAACGTCACGTGACGGCAACGTGACAGCGCAAGTTTGACACTCATGCTTTAAATGTTGCTCCTCCTATGAAGTCATTAGATGATCTTAAATGAATCATTGTGTCTTAACCGCATCTGTAATACGGGTGATAATGATTACCTTATGGCTGGATAAATTTGGACTTGAAAGGATTGCAAAACTGGTTTGAATTTGCTGGATATGAAATTGGGGCATTTAATTGTATGCTTTTAACATGTACAATATATTAATTGTTGCTTAGATATCTACAAAAATTATATTATGAAAAAATAGTATGAATCACACAATACTCTATTCTGTTGTCCCTTTTCCTGTTAGCATCACATATTGGATTCAATTGTGTGTTTGGGGAAATTTGGTATAATCATTCAATGTTTTGATGACAATATACTTGCAGATTCAAAAGGAATGTTAATCTTAAATAGCACATGGTTTGTAAATAAATTTTCAAGAAATTTATAAAAGTGTTTATCAGAAAAAAATATTAACACATTAGGCTATACCTTTTTAGTTACGTTTCTGAGACAAAATTGAAAGCTCTCAAAGTATCAAAATGTCTCTGCGTGTATGAGTCTAAAAACATGAGTGCTTGCTGTCTGTTAGGTGGATTTTTCCAACATTCAGGTATGCAACAGGCTGGCTAAAAAATAATTAGCAATGAGACAAATCCCTTAACCTGTTGCTTTTTGTAGAGCAATGTTTCCTGATTTGGTAGCTTCTAGGCATGTTAGTGTAAAAGTCCCATTGATTCTATCTGGCAACAGGTTGAAAAATGTTTTTTCTCATGATGATCTCTGTTTTAGATAGCAGGGCAGCTTTTCATTTTTGGGTTGACTAACTAGTCACACACACTACTTTGTAGCACAATATTGCTATACTCAGTTTTTCAAGTCTAGCACTGGATTGTCTTGTTCTTCAAAAAAGATGTCTAGTCATGATAGTCATACTCCGCCAATCACATTTTGTAGACTTATTGCCAAAGCATATGGGACCTTTCTATAATTATATTCACAAAGCTGTTTTTTTGAGATGCATCTATCATATCTCAATTGTATGTGTATTTTAAATAAGTATGTAGAAGGACGGGGGAATAGAATTTATTTATGACCATAATTACAGTTAGTTCAATAAAATAATAGGAAGGAAAAGACTGAAAAAAAAACCCTGACCTTTGGAAGAATTGATCATTAAATGCTGTCCTGATTAAGTAAAAAACAAGACCGGAATAAAATTATTACATTTAATCCTACATTTTGCTTTTGCTCAAATACTCAGTGAAGCAGATTTAAGAGAAATTGGTGTATGTATGTGTGGAGGGGGCAAAGCCATGAATGCCATTATTTTTCTCTACTAGCTCCTTTCGCTGCCTCTCTATTGCTTCTTCTGCTAAGGAAGTACTTAAGCTATAGTGTTGACAGAATCAAGGCTGTGATAGATAACTCCTTTGCAGGAAGAGCCACTTTCCAACAACCTATGGCAACTTTTTTGACTCCCGGTAAAAGGAGTGGTCAGAAACAGCGAAGTACACCTTTCAGCAGACTATATTCCAAGCTCAGAAGGAATTTTATTTCACGGTCAGAACAAATCATACGGTTTGTTCTGAGTGTTATTGTTTTGAGTGTTTTGCCGATTCTAAGTGTGACAATTGATCTGTTTGTGGCCCACGGCTGGACTGCTTTTGTGCAACTTAGCTAATATATAGCAGCAGGGAATAGTCATAGGCTTAGATGAAATGGGATGATGTGGCAGTCGAGTGTTGAGAAGAAAGCAGTTAAGTACTTGGCTAGATAGAATATAAAGACGGCTGCAGTTTCATGCCAGCCAGTTTGCCTGTTAAATTATCACTAATTTTTTATTTTTCTTTACTATGGGGAAGTTAGAATTCATGTGGTGGTTAACTTTGTGGCTAAAGTTTATGTAGGAAGGCATGTATGTTGCATGTGTATTGTGCAGTATCTTGCTAGTAGAATACAGATGTGTGTGTATGTATTATGTTTCACAAAAGTGTTGCTAAAGCTTTTGAGGTTGCATAAATGTGCAGTGGGTATTTTATTCTCTTTGACATTTGATGTATACCTAAAGTACATTTAAAATTTTTGGGGGAAGTTTGTTCTTGCCTTCTGGGA